CAGCGCTAAACAGAGGCACCTCTAAGCAATCAGGAGCTAAAAACAGGAAATAAATTGTTCTTTTTCTCTGAATCCCAGACCCTGGATGTCTAGTTTACCTCCACTCCATCACCAACAGGTCTTTGGTGTGTCAGGGTCGTATTTTATTTAATAATATTCAAAATCTTGTTAGGGCCCGAGCGTAGCTGCTAAGCAGCTGCGAGAGCCCTATTATTCCCCAAGTGGTTTTTCTTTGTTTCTTTTTAGGGCCCGAGCGTAGCTGCTAAGCAGCTGCGAGAGCCCTATTATTCCCCAAGTGGTTTTTCTTTGTTTCTTTTTAGGGCCCGAGCCAGCTGCAGAGCAGCCGGGCGTAGGCCCTATTATTCCCCAAGTGGTTTTTCTTTGTTTCTTTCTTTCTTTTTAGGGCCCGAGCCAGCTGCAGAGCAGCCGGGCGTAGGCCCTATTATTCCCCAAGTGGTTTTTTAGGGCCCGAGCCAGCTGCAGAGCAGCCGGGCGTAGGCCCTATTATTCCCCAAGTGGTTTTTCTTTGTTTCTTTCTTTCTTTTTAGGGCCCGAGCGTAGCTGCTAAGCAGCTGCGAGAGCCCTATTATTCCCCAAGGGGTTTTTTAGGGCCCGAGCGTAGCTGCTAAGCAGCTGCGAGAGCCCTCTTGTTCCTGCATGTTTCCTTCTTTTGTTATTAGGGCCCGAGCCAGCTGCAGAGCAGCCGGGCGTAGGCCCTATTATTCCCCAAGTGGTTTTTCTTTGTTTCTTTCTTTCTTTAGGGCCCGAGCCAGCTGCAGAGCAGCCGGGCGTAGGCCCTATTATTCCCCAAGTGGTTTTTCTTTGTTTCTTTCTTTCTTTCTTTCTTTCTTCTTTTTCCTCCCCTTTGAACTGGAAAATGGCCCACTTCCCACTGGCGAAAACTCATGAAATTTGGCAGGACGACCGGGCCTGGTGAAAAATTCGATATTCTGAAGTCGCCCAAACAATAAAATGCAAAATGGCTCCATAGCGCCCCCTAAGGTGGAAATTCACACTATTGACTGTCACGCCTGTACGCTTTGTCATATTGACACAAAAATTGACACACATATGTATCTCAATAAGATCTACAAAAAAGTCAGTGCGGCCGTATCTGTCAAAATTACGGTTAAAGGGTTATTTCGCATTTTTTGCCGATCCGCACACATTGGAATTTCGCTAACTCCTCCGAAGGCTTTCGTTCCACCGGCACCACATTTGCTCAGGCCAATCTACACCCCGTGGCCATTAAAAGTTATCAAAATCATGACGCTGCACCCCAAGGTTTAGGTTCTAGGGGGCGCCAAAGATAACACTAAAATCCACATATTTAAAAGTCTTATAACTTTTTATTTTTGTCCTCACTGGCCTCCAAGTTTTCTAGGATGATGCAATGTCCAGCCATCAACACATTTGTGAAGGAATTTTTACTCCCCAAAAGAGCGCCCCCCCATGGCAGGAGAAAAAAGTCCATTTTTTCTTGTCCCCTAAGGTGAAAATACACATTGTTGAGTGTCACGCCTATACGCTTTGTCAAAATGACACAAAAATTGACACACACATGTAACTCAATAAGATCTACAAAAAAGTCCATGCGCGCGTATCTGTCAAATGTACAGTTAAAGGGTTATTCCGCATTTTTTGCCGATACGCACACATTGGAATTTCGCTAACTCCTCCGAAGGCTTTCGTTCCACCGGCACCACATTTGCTCAGGCCAATCTACACCCCATGGCCATTAAAAGTTATTCAAATCATGATGCTGCACCCCATGGTTTAGGTTCTAGGGGGCGCCAAAAATAACCCAAAAATCCACATTCTTAAATGTTTTATAACTTTTTATTTTTGTCCTCACTGGCCTCCAAGTTTTCTAGGATGATGCAATGTCCAGCCATCAACACATTTGTGAAGGAATTTTTACTCCCCAAAAGAGCGCCCCCCATGGTAGGAGAAAAAAGTCAATTTTTTCTTGTCCCCTTACATAAAAATACACATTGTTGAGTGTCACGCCTGAACGCTTTGTCATATTGACACAAAAATTGACAATCATGTGTATCTCAATTAGATCTACGAAAAAGTCAAAGAGCGCGTATCTGTATAATGTACGGTTAAAGGGCTATTTTGCATTTTTTGCCGATTCGCACACATTGGAATGTGGCTATCTCCTCCTAAGGCTTTCGTCCCACCGATACCAAATTTGCTCAGGGCAATCTACACCCCATGCCCATTCAAAGTTGTAAAAATCATGACGCTGCACCCCACGGTTTACGTTCTAGGGGGCGCCAAAGATGACCCAAAAATCCACATTCTTAAAAGTCATTTTGGCCACTGCAGGAGTACAGAGTACTGCAGTTCTAGGGGGCGCCAAAGATGACCCAAAAATCCACATTCTTAAAAGTCTTTTTGGCCACTGCAGGAGTACAGAGTACTGCAGGATACACACACGCCAACACACACGCCAACACACACACACACACACACACACACACACACACACACACACTCAGAGTCTGTTTTTTAGCACCTGCAAAAACATGCTGTTTACATATTTGACAAGAATGCAGAGGCTTTTGCCCCTGAAAAAAATCAAATTTCAAACACAACTTGACTGTTCATTTCTCCAAAAGACAACCATGAAGCTCCATCCAAACCTGAAGCAGATAGTTGGTGCATGTGTACAGTAACCTGAGGGGAGTGAGGTGACTATTTCTGAGGAGAACATGAGCAGTGAAGATTCACCTTGGAGCTAGAACAGGGACGTGCACATGATTATACAGGGGCAGGGGCTCAAGTTTTTTCCAGTCATTTATACAATATGGAAATTCATGTGAAATTAAACCACAAATATGTGTGATGAACTGTTTTTAAAACTTAAACTTCAAATAAAAATTGTAAACTTCAAAACATATGCAAATTTTTAACAAAGAACATAGTAATTTACCTCTATTTACATCAAAATGCAGGCAATGGCTCAGGCGTTCTTTGTAAAATTATTTACAAAACACTGTATAGTCTCACAAATGTCACTTTTTATTCATGCCACTACAAAAAAACATGATGTAAATGATGCATGATGTAAAACATGATGTAAAAAACTTGTGTAGATCCTCCTCTATGTCAGTCCATGTGTAATTTTTCCATAATTCTTTTTTTTTTGCAGCATTTTTGTTAGTGTAACTGCAGATTGTGCTGACAGTGTCTATGGCAAAAAAAAAAAAAAAAACTGAAAATGCCTCAACATGAACCCCTGGTGGTCTCTGAGGGTGAAACCTGCTAACTGCTGCAGCTCTGTCAGCTTTAGTCTCCCATGCAGAGCTCGGAGCGCATGTGTGACTCTGCACCCTTAGCAGCGTTGCTAACTCCTCAGTAAGGAAAGCCTGCTTCATGTCAGAGTCTCTAAACTCCAGAAGAAGTCGATAAAAGTCCCTTTCTTTCTAAAAAAAAAGTCGTTAGGGGGTCTGAAAAGTCATTTAATCTAACAACAAAGTCGCTAGGTTTGCAACTACGTGTCCCAGACTGCATCCCTGCTGAGAGTTCCTCCCTCCCTTCTCATGTTGCAGGAAGAACGTAAGCGCCCGCCCCTTGTCAATCAGTCACCATATAATTTTGGATTGGTTGTTGTGGTGAAGTTTTCCACCAATAGGAGAGATGTTGTGGTGTGTTTTTTTTTTTCTTTTGGCAAGCCTTTTCCGCCTGTAAGACCTGTCGCTAATGTCTGCATGCTATGTTTTCCTGTCTCATACAGCGCGATCGAGCGCCGAACGTGATCAAAATAAGCAGAAAAAAAGTATTGCGGACATAATTTATCATAACTCTGGTTTTATTTGGCCTATCAACACAATTTAAAAACTGGTATATATGTTGAGGTCCTCACTTTTGAGATAAGTTGAAACGGAGAGTCAACGAGGCTCCGTCTTGCAGCTACATCCGGTTAAATATGTCATGTGACTTGAACGCACACACACACACACACACACAGACACACACACACACGCACACACACACACTCAGAGTCTGGTTTTTAGCACCTGCAAAAACATGCTATTTACATATTTGACAAGAATGCAGAGGCTCCTTTTGCCCCTGAAAAAAATCAAATTTCAAACACAACTTGACTGGTCATTTCTCCAAAAGACAACCATGAAGCTCCATCCAAACCTGAAGCAGGCAGTTGGTGCATGTGTACAGTAACCTGAGGGGAGTGAGGTGACTGCTTCTGAGGAGAACATGAGCAGTGAAGATTCACCTTAGAGCTAGAACAGAGACGTGCACATGATTATACAGGGGCAGGGGCTCAAGTTTTTTCCAGTTGTTTATACAATATGGAAATTAATGTGAAATTAAAAAACAAAGTATTAATAGAAAGGTAATGACTGTCCTGTGTAGGTGACAGTGATATCCAATAGGCTAGGCACTCACGAGGCTGGCTGTGGCAAGTGTAAGTGAAAGCAACACGCACTGGCAGGAAGAACAGCAAACGCCGATGAAGGAAAAGGGTCTTTGCAGTGATGGGCGTTACCAGAGAAGGCGATGGCCAGAGGACACAAATGGGACGGGGAGGCAGCGCGTTGGGGGCGGGGACGCGACACAGCTCGGGCCCGCCAGTGCCCCAACGGGGTCCTAGTTAGGGCCCGAGCGTAGCTGCTAAGCAGCTGCGAGAGCCCTCTTGTTCCTGATGGATTCTTCTTTTGTTATTATTATTATTATTATTTTTCCTCCGCTTTAAACTGGAAAATGGCCCACTTCCCACTGGCGAAAACTCATGAAATTTGGCAGGACGACCGGGCCTGGTGAAAAATTCGATATTCTGAAGTCGCCCAAACAATAAAATGCAAAATGGCTCCATAGCGCCCCCTAAGGTGGAAATTCACACTATTGACTGTCACGTCTGTACGTTTTGTCATATTGACACAAAAATTGACACACATATGTATCTCAATAAGATCTACAAAAAAGTCAGTGCGGGCGTATCTGTCAAATGTACGGTTAAAGGGTTATTGCGCATTTTTTGCCGATCCGCACACATTGGAATTTCGCTAACTCCTCCGAAGGCTTTCGTTCCACCGGCACCACATTTGCTCAGGCCAGTCTACACCCCATGGCCATTAAAAGTTGTACAAATCATGACGCTGCACCCCACGGTTTAGGTTCTAGGGGGCGCCAAAGATAACCCAAAAATCCACATTCTTAAAAGTCTTATAACTTTTTATTTTTGTCCTCACTGCCCTCCAAGTTTTCTAGGATGATGCAATGTCCAGCCATCAACACATTTGTGAAGGAATTTTTACTCCCCAAAAGAGCGCCCCCCCATGGCAGGAGAAAAAAGTCAATTTTTTCTTGTCCCCTTACATGAAAATACACATTGTTGAGTGTCACGCCTGAACGCTTTGTCATATTGACACAAAAATTGACAATCATGTGTATCTCAATTAGATCTACGAAAAAGTCAAAGAGCGCGTATCTGTATAATGTACGGTTAAAGGGCTATTTCGCATTTTTTGCCGATTCGCACACATTGGAATGTGGCTATCTTCTCCTAAGGCTTTCGTCCCACTGATACCAAATTTGCTCAGGGCAATCTACACCCCATGCCCATTCAAAGTTGTAAAAATCATGACGCTGCACCCCACGGTTTACGTTCTAGGGGGCGCCAAAGATGACCCAAAAATCCACATTCTTAAAAGTCATTTTGGCCACTGCAGGAGTACAGAGTACTGCAGTTCTAGGGGGCGCCAAAGATGACCCAAAAATCCACATTCTTAAAAGTCTTTTTGGCCACTGCAGGAGTACAGAGTACTGCAGGATACACACACATATACACACACGCCAACACACACACACACACACACACACACACACACACACACACACACACACACACACACACACACACTCAGAGTCTGTTTTTTAGCACCTGCAAAAACATGCTGTTTACATATTTGACAAGAATGCAGAGGCTTCCTTTTGCCCCTGAAAAAAATCAAATTTCAAACACAACTTGACTGTTCATTTCTCCAAAAGACAACCATGAAGCTCCATCCAAACCTGAAGCAGATAGTTGGTGCATGTGTACAGTAACCTGAGGGGAGTGAGGTGACTATTTCTGAGGAGAACATGAGCAGTGAAGATTCACCATGGAGCTAGAACAGGGACGTGCACATGATTATACAGGGGCAGGGGCTCAAGTTTTTTCCAGTCATTTATACAATATGGAAATTAATGTGAAATTAAAAAACAAAGTATTAATAGAAAGGTTATGACTGTCCTGTGTAGATGACAGTGATATCCAATAGGCTAGGCACTCACGAGGCTGGCTGTGGCAAGTGTAAGTGAAAGCAACACGCACTGGCAGGAAGAACAGCAAACGCCGATGAAGGAAAGGGTCTTTGCAGTGATGGGCGTTACCAGAGAGGACGATGGCCAGAGGACGCGAATGGGACGGGGAGGCAGCGCGTTGGGGGGGGCAGCGCGACACGGCTCGGGCCCGCCAGTGCCCCAACGGGGCCCTAGTTTCTTCTTTTTCCTCCCCTTTGAACTGGAAAATGGCCCACTTCCCACTGGCGAAAACTCATGAAATTTGGCAGGACGACCGGGCCTGGTGAAAAATTTGATATTCTGAAGTCGCCAAAACAATAAAATGCAAAATGGCTCCATAGCGCCCCCTAAGGTGAAAATTCACACTATTCACTGTCACGACTGTACGCTTTGTCAAAATGACACAAAAATTGACACACACATGTATCTCAATAAGATCTACAAAAAAGTCAGTGCGGCCGTATCTGTCAAAATTACGGTTAAAGGGTTATTTCGCATTTTTTGCCGATCTGCACACATTGGAATTTCGCTAACTCCTCCGAAGGCTTTCGTTCCACCGGCACCACATTTGCTCAGGCCAATCTACACCCCGTGGCCATTAAAAGTTATCAAAATCATGACGCTGCACCCCAAGGTTTAGGTTCTAGGGGGCGCCAAAGATAACACTAAAATCCACATATTTAAAAGTCTTATAACTTTTTATTTTTGTCCTCACTGGCCTCCAAGTTTTCTAGGATGATGCAATGTCCAGCCATCAACACATTTGTGAAGGAATTTTTACTCCCCAAAAGAGCGCCCCCCCATGGCAGGAGAAAAAAGTCCATTTTTTCTTGTCCCCTCAGGTGAAAATACACATTGTTGAGTGTCACGCCTATACGCTTTGTCAAAATGACACAAAAATTGACACACACATGTAACTCAATAAGATCTACAAAAAAGTCCATGCGCGCGTATCTGTCAAATGTACAGTTAAAGGGTTATTCCGCATTTTTTGCCGATACGCACACATTGGAATTTCGCTAACTCCTCCTAAGGCTTTCGTTCCACCGGCACCACATTTGCTCAGGCCAATCTACACCCCATGGCCATTAAAAGTTATTCAAATCATGATGCTGCACCCCATGGTTTAGGTTCTAGGGGGCGCCAAAAATAACCCAAAAATCCACATTCTTAAATGTTTTATAACTTTTTATTTTTGTCCTCACTGGCCTCCAAGTTTTCTAGGATGATGCAATGTCCAGCCATCAACACATTTGTGAAGGAATTTTTACTCCCCAAAAGAGCGCCCCCCATGGTAGGAGAAAAAAGTCAATTTTTTCTTGTCCCCTTACATGAAAATACACATTGTTGAGTGTCACGCCTGAACGCTTTGTCATATTGACACAAAAATTGACAATCATGTGTATCTCAATTAGATCTACGAAAAAGTCAAAGAGTGCGTATCTGTATAATGTACGGTTAAAGGGCTATTTTGCATTTTTTGCCGATTCGCACACATTGGAATGTGGCTATCTCCTCCTAAGGCTTTCGTCCCACCGATACCAAATTTGCTCAGGGCAATCTACACCCCATGCCCATTCAAAGTTGTAAAAATCATGACGCTGCACCCCACGGTTTACGTTCTAGGGGGCGCCAAAGATGACCCAAAAATCCACATTCTTAAAAGTCATTTTGGCCACTGCAGGAGTACAGAGTACTGCAGTTCTAGGGGGCGCCAAAGATGACCCAAAAATCCACATTCTTAAAAGTCTTTTTGGCCACTGCAGGAGTACAGAGTACTGCAGGATACACACACATATACACACACGCCAACATACACACACACACACACACACACACACACACAACACACACACACACTCAGAGTCTGTTTTTTAGCACCTGCAAAAACATGCTGTTTACATATTTGACAAGAATGCAGAGGCTTCCTTTTGCCCCTGAAAAAAATCAAATTTCAAACACAACTTGACTGTTCATTTCTCCAAAAGACAACCATGAAGCTCCATTTCAAACCTGAAGCAGATAGTTGGTGCATGTGTACAGTAACCTGAGGGGAGTGAAGTGACTATTTCTGAGGAGAACATGAGCAGTGAAGATTCACCTTGGAGCTAGAACAGGGACGTGCACATGATTATACAGGGGCAGGGGCTCAAGTTTTTTCCAGTCATTTATACAATATGGAAATTAATGTGAAATTAAACCACAAATATGTGTGATGAACTGTTTTTAAAACTTAAACTTCAAATAAAAATTGTAAACTTCAAAACATATGCAAATTTTTAACAAAGAACATAGTAATTTACCTCTATTTACATCAAAATGCAGGCAATGGCCCAGGCGTTCTTTGTAAAATTATTTACAAAACACTGTATAGTCTCACAAATGTCACTTTTTATTTATGCCACTACAAAAAAACATGATGTAAATGATGCATGATGTAAAACATGATGTAAAAAACTTGTGTAGATCCTCCTCTATGTCAGTCCATGTGTAATTTTTCCATAATTCTTTGTTTTTTGCAGCATTTTTGTTAGTGTAACTGCAGATTGTGGTGACAGTGTCTATGGCACAAAAAAAAAAAAAAATTAAAATGCCTCAACATGAACCCCTGGTGGTCTCTGAGGGTGAAACCTGCTAACTGCTGCAGCTCTGTCAGCTTCAGTCTCCCATGCAGAGCTCTGAGCGCATGTGTGGCTCTGCACCCTTAGCAGCGTTGCTAACTCCTCAGTAAGGAAAGCCTGCTTCATGTCAGAGTCTCTAAACTCCAGAAGAAGTCGATAAAAGTCCCTTTCTTTCTAAAAAAAAGTCGTTAGGGGGTCTGAAAAGTCATTGAATCTAACAACAAAGTCGCTAGGTTTGCAACTACGTGTCCCAGACTGCATCCCTGCTGAGAGTCCCTCCCTCCCTTCTCATGTTGGCAGGAGAAAAAAGTCAATTTTTTCTTGTCCCCTAAGGTGAAAATACACATTGTTGAGTGTCACGCCTGTACGCTTTGTCAAAATGACACAAAAATTGACACACACATGTATCTCAATAAGATCTACAAAAAAGTCCATGCGCGCGTATCTGTCAAATGTACGGTTAAAGGGTTATTCCGCATTTTTTGCCGATTCGCACACATTGGAATTTCGCTAACTCCTCCGAAGGCTTTCGTTCCACCGGCACCACATTTGCTCAGGCCAATCTACACCCCATGGCCATTAAAAGTTATTCAAATCATGACGCTGCACCCCACGGTTTACATTCTAGGGGGCGCCAAAGATAACCCAAAAATCCACATTTTTAAAAGTCTTATAACTTTTTATTTTTGTCCTCACTGGCCTCCAAGTTTTCTAGGATGATGCAATGTCCAGCCATCAACACATTTGTGAAGGAATTTTTACTCCCTAAAAGAGCGCCCCCCATGGCAGGAGAAAAAAGTCCATTTTTTCTTGTCCCCTAAGGTGAAAATACACATTGTTGACTGTCACGCCTGTACGCTTTGGCAAAATGACACAAAAATTGACAATCATGTGTATCTCAATTAGATCTACGAAAAAGTCAAAGAGCGCGTATCTGTATAATGTACGGTAAAAGGGCTATTTTGCATTTTTTGCCGATTCGCACACATTGGAATTTCGCTAACTCCTCCTAAGGCTTTCGTCCCACTGACACCAAATTTGCTCAGGCCAATCTACACTCCATGGCCATTCAAAGTTGTAAAAATCATGACGCTGCACCCCACGGTTTACGTTTTAGGGGGCGCCAAAGATGACCCAAATATACATTACAGTAGACAAAGTAGTTTTGCCCACTGAGTGGCGCCAAAGGGACTTGTCTGTGGAGTCTGTGAGTCACTATTGGCCGTTTTTGACTACTTTAGATTTTACCTTTATATTTCCTCTTACAAAATTTTTACCTTGCCTTGCCTGGTATCATTTTTTTCATCACAACCTCACCTGTGTCAATTTACAGTTATTTTATCATTTTGACATACTATATTTACACATTGGACCCAAATTCACACACAAAACATAAAATCCGAGTGGAAAAAAGTAACGTTTTTACTGTGAAAACCACAAATATGTGTGATGAACTGTTTTTAAAACTTAAACTTCAAATTAAAATTGTAAACTTCAAAACATATGCAAATTTTTAACAAAGAACATAGTAATTTACCTCTATTTACATCAAAATGCAGGCAATGGCCCAGGTGTTCTTTGTAAAATTATTTACAAAACACTGTATAGTCTCACAAATGTCACTTTTTATTTATGCCACTACAAAAAAACATGATGTAAATGATGCATGATGTAAAACATGATGTAAAAAACTTGTGTAGATCCTCCTCTATGTTAGTCCATGTGTAATTTTTCCATAATTCTTTGTTTTTTGCAGCATTTTTGTTAGTGTAACTGCAGATTGTGCTGACAGTGTCTATGGCAAAAAAAAAAAAAAAACTGAAAATGCCTCAACATGAACCCCTGGTGGTCTCTGAGGGTGAAACCTGCTAACTGCTGCAGCTCTGTCAGCTTCAGTCTCCCATGCAGAGCTCGGAGCGCATGTGTGGCTCTGCACCCTTAGCAGCGTTGCTAACTCCTCAGTAAGGAAAGCCTGCTTCATGTCAGAGTCTCTAAACTCCAGAAGAAGTCGATAAAAGTCCCTTTCTTTCTAAAAAAGTCGTTAGGGGGTCTGAAAAGTCATTGAATCTAACAACAAAGTCGCTAGGTTTGCAACTACGTGTCCCAGACTGCATCCCTGCTTAGAGTCCCTCCCTCCCTTCTCATATTGCAGGAAGAACGTAAGCGTCCGCCCCTTGTCAATCAGTCACCATATAATTTTGGATTGGTTGTTGTGGTGAAGTTTTCCACCAATAGGAGAGATGTTGTGGTGTGTTTTTTTTTTCCTTTGGCAAGCCTTTTCCGCCTGTAAGACCTGTCGCTAATGTCTGCATGCTATGTTTTCCTGTCTCATACAGCGCGATCGAGCGCCGAACGTGATCAAAATAAGCAGAAAACAAGTATCGCGGACATAATTTATCATAACTCTGGTTTTATTTGGCCTATCAACACAATTTAAAAACTGGTATATAGGTTGAGGTCCTCACTTTTGAGATAAGTTGAAACGGAGTCAACGAGGCTCCGTCTTGCAGCTACATCCGGTTAAATATGTCATGTGACTTGAACGCACACACACACACACACACACACACACACACACACACACACAGACACACACACACACGCACACACACACACTCAGAGTCTGGTTTTTAGCACCTGCAAAAACATGCTATTTACATATTTGACAAGAATGCAGAGGCTCCTTTTGCCCCTGAAAAAAATCAAATTTCAAACACAACTTGACTGGTCATTTCTCCAAAAGACAACCATGAAGCTCCATCCAAACCTGAAGCAGGCAGTTGGTGCATGTGTACAGTAACCTGAGGGGAGTGAGGTGACTGCTTCTGAGGAGAACATGAGCAGTGAAGATTCACCTTAGAGCTAGAACAGAGACGTGCACATGATTATACAGGGGCAGGGGCTCAAGTTTTTTCCAGTTGTTTATACAATATGGAAATTAATGTGAAATTAAAAAACAAAGTATTAATAGAAAGGTAATGACTGTCCTGAGTAGGTGACAGTGATATCCAATAGGCTAGGCACTCACGAGGCTGGCTGTGGCAAGTGTAAGTGAAAGCAACACGCACTGGCAGGAAGAACAGCAAACGCCGATGAAGGAAAAGGGTCTTTGCAGTGATGGGCGTTACCAGAGAGGGCGATGGCCAGAGGACACAAATGGGACGGGGAGGCAGCGCGTTGGGGGGGGGACGCGACACAGCTCGGGCCCGCCAGTGCCCCAACGGGGTCCTAGTTAGGGCCCGAGCCAGCTGCAGAGCAGCCGGGCGTAGGCCCTATTATTCCCCAAGTGGTTTTTCTTTGTTTCTTTCTTTCTTTTTTCTTTTTCCTCCCCTTTGAACTGGAAAATGGCCCACTTCCCACTGGCGAAAACTCATGAAATTTGGCAGGACGACCGGGCCTGGTGAAAAATTTGATATTCTGAAGTCGCCAAAACAATAAAATGCAAAATGGCTCCATAGCGCCCCCTAAGGTGAAAATTCACACTATTCACTGTCACGACTGTACGCTTTGTCAAAATGACACAAAAATTGACACACACATGTATCTCAATAAGATCTACAAAAAAGTCAGTGCGGCCGTATCTGTCAAAATTACGGTTAAAGGGTTATTTCGCATTTTTTGCCGATCCGCACACATTGGAATTTCGCTAACTTCTCCGAAGGCTTTCGTTCCACCGGCACCACATTTGCTCAGGCCAATCTACACCCCGTGGCCATTAAAAGTTATCAAAATCATGACGCTGCACCCCAAGGTTTAGGTTCTAGGGGGCGCCAAAGATAACACTAAAATCCACATATTTAAAAGTCTTATAACTTTTTATTTTTGTCCTCACTGGCCTCCAAGTTTTCTAGGATGATGCAATGTCCAGCCATCAACACATTTGTGAAGGAATTTTTACTCCCCAAAAGAGCGCCCCCCATGGCAGGAGAAAAAAGTCCATTTTTTCTTGTCCCCTAAGGTGAAAATACACATTGTTGAGTGTCACGCCTATACGCTTTGTCAAAATGACACAAAAATTGACACACACATGTAACTCAATAAGATCTACGAAAAAGTCAATGCGCGCGTATCTGTCAAATGTACGGTTAAAGGGTTATTCCGCATTTTTTGCCGATCAGCACACATTGGAATGTGGCTAACTCCTCCTAAGGCTTTCGTTCCACCGGCACCACATTTGCTCAGGCCAATCTACACCCCATGGCCATGAAAAGTTATTCAAATCATGACGCTGCACCCCACGGTTTAGGTTCTAGGGGGCGCCAAAGATAACCCTAAAATCCACATATTTAAAAGTCTTATAACTTTTTATTTTTGTCCTCACTGGCCTCCAAGTTTTCTAGGATGATGCAATGTCCAGCCATCAACACATTTGTGAAGGAATTTTTACTCCCCAAAAGAGCGCCCCCCATGGCAGGAGAAAAAAGTCCATTTTTTCTTGTCCCCTAAGGTGAAAATACATATTGTTGAGATTCACGCCTATACGCTTTGTCATAATGACACAAAATTTGACAATCACGTGCCTTGCCTGGTATCATTTTTTTCAGCACAACCTCACCTGTGCGAATTTACAGTTATTTTATCATGTTGACATACTGAATTTACACAATGGACCCAAATTCACACACAAAACATAAAATCCGAGTGGAAAAAAGTAACATTTTTACTGTGAAAACCACAAATATGTGTGATGAACTGTTTTTAAAACTTAAACTTCAAATAAAAATTGTAAACTTCAAAACATATGCAAATTTTTAACAAAGAACATAGTGATTTACCTCTATTTACATCAAAATGCAGGCAATGGCCCAGGCGTTCTTTGTAAAATTATTTACAAAACACTGTATAGTCTCACAAATGTCACTTTTTATTTATGCCACTACAAAAAAACATGATGTAAATGATGCATGATGTAAAACATGATGTAAAAAACTTGTGTAGATCCTCCTCTATGTCAGTCCATGTGTAATTTTTCCATAATTCTTTGTTTTTTGCAGCATTTTTGTTAGTGTAACTGCAGATTGTGCTGACAGTGTCTATGGCACAAAAAAAAAAAAAAATTAAAATGCCTCAACATGAACCCCTGGTGGTCTCTGAGGGTGAAACCTGCTAACTGCTGCAGCTCTGTCAGCTTCAGTCTCCCATGCAGAGCTCTGAGCGCATGTGTGGCTCTGCACCCTTAGCAGCGTTGCTAACTCCTCAGTAAGGAAAGCCTGCTTCATGTCAGAGTCTCTAAACTCCAGAAGAAGTCGATAAAAGTCCCTTTCTTTCTAAAAAAAAGTCATTAGGGGGTCTGAAAAGTCATTGAATCTAACAACAAAGTCGCTAGGTTTGCAACTACGTGTCCCAGACTGCATCCCTGCTGAGAGTCCCTCCCTCCCTTCTCATGTTGCAGGAAGAACGTAAGCGCCCGCCCCTTGTCAATCAGTCACCATATAATTTTGGATTGGTTGTTGTGGTGAAGTTTTCCACCAATAGGAGAGATGTTGTGGTGTGTTTTTTTTTTCTTTTGGCAAGCCTTTTCCGCCTGTAAGACCTGTCGCTAATGTCTGCATGCTATGTTTTCCTGTCTCATACAGCGCGATCGAGCGCCGAACGTGATCAAAATAAGCAGAAAAAAAGTATCGCGGACATAATTTATCATAACTCTGGTTTTATTTGGCCTATCAACACAATTTAAAAACTGGTATATAGGTTGAGGTCCTCACTTTTGAGATAAGTTGAAACGGAGAGTCAACGAGGCTCCGTCTTGCAGCTACATCCGGTTAAATATGTCATGTGACTTGAACGCACACACAGACACACACACACGCACACACACACACACACACACACACACACACACACTCAGAGTCTGGTTTTTAGCACCTGCAAAAACATGCTATTTACATATTTGACAAGAATGCAGAGGCTCCTTTTGCCCCTGAAAAAAATCAAATTTCAAACACAACTTGACTGGTCATTTCTCCAAAAGACAACCATGAAGCTCCATCCAAACCTGAAGCAGGCAGTTGGTGCATGTGTACAGTAACCTGAGGGGAGTGAGGTGAGTGCTTCTGAGGAGAACATGAGCAGTGAAGATTCACCTTGGAGCTAGAACAGAGACATGCACATGATTATACAGGGGCAGGGGCTCAAGTTTTTTCCAGTCGTTTATACAATATGGAAATTAATGTGAAATTAAAACACAAAGTATTACTAGGGCCCCGTTGGGGCACTGGCGGGCCCGAGCTGTGTCGTCCCCCCCCCCCCCCAACGCGCTGCCTCCCCGTCCCATTCGCGTCCTCTGGCCATCATCCTCTCTGGTAACGCCCATCACTGCAAAGACCCTTTTCCTTCATCGGCGTTTGCTGTTCTTCCTGCCAGTGCGTGTTGCTTTCACTTACACTTGCCACAGCCAGCCTTGTGAGTGCCTAGCCTATTGGATATCACTGTCACCTACACAGGACAGTCATTACCTTTCTATTAATACTTTGTTTTTTAATTTCACATTAATTTCCATATTGTATAAACGACTGGAAAAAACTTGAGCCCCTGCCCCCGTATAATCATGTGCACGTCCCTGTTCTCGCTCCAAGGTGAATCTTCACTGCTCATGTTCTCCTCAGAAGCAGTCACCTCACTCCCCTCAGGTTACTGTACACATGCACCAACTGCCTGCTTCAGGTTTGGATGGAGCTTCATGGTTGTCTTTTGGAGAAATGAGCAGTCAAGTTGTGTTAGAAATTTGATTTTTTTCAGGGGCAAAAGGAAGCCTCTGCATTGTTGTCAAATATGTAAATAGCATGTTTTTGCAGGTGCTAAAAAACAGACTGTGAGTGTGTGTGTGTGTGTGTGTGTGTGTGTGTGTGTGTCTGTGTGTGTGTGTGTCTGTGTGTGTGTATCCTGCAGTACTCTGTACTCCTGCAGAAGCCAAAACGACTTTTAAGAATGTGGATATTTGGGTCATCTTTGGCGCCCCCTAGAACGTAAACCATGGGGTGCAGCGGCATGATTTTTACAACTTTGAATGGCCATGAGGTGTAGATTGGCCTGAGCAAATTTGGTGTCAGTGGGACGAAAGCCTTAGGAGGAGTTAGCCACATTCCAATGTGTGCGAATCGGCAAAAAATGCAAAATAGCCCTTTAGCCGTACATTTTACAGATACGCGCCCATTGACTTTTTCGTAGATCTTATTGAGATACACGTGTGTGTCAAATTTTTTGTCAATACGACAAAGCGTACAGGCGTGACACTCAACAATGTGTATTTTCACCTTAGGGGACAAGAAAAAATGGACTTTTTATTCCTGCCATGGGGGGGCGCTCTTTTGGGGAGTAAAAATTCCTTCACAAATGTGTTGATGGCTGGACATTGCATCATCCTAGAAAACTTGGAGGCCAGTGAGGACAAAAAAAAAAATTTATAAAACTTTTAAGAATGTGGATTTTTGGGTTATTTTTGGCGCCCCCTAGAACCTAAACCATGGGGTGCAGCATTATGATTTGTACAACTTTGAATGGCCATGGAGTGTAGATTGGCCTGAGCAAATGTGGTGCCGGTGGAACGAAAGCCTTCGGAGGAGTTAGCGAAATTCCAATGTGTGCGGATCTGCAAAAAATGCAAAATAACCCTTTAACCGTACATTTGACAGATACGCCCGCACTGACTTTTTTGTAGATCTTATTGAGATACATGTGTGTGTCAATTTTTGTGTCAATATGACAAAGCGTACAGGCGTGACAGTCAATAGTGTGAATTTTCACCTTAGGGGGCGCTATGGAGCCATTTTGCATTTTCTTGTTTGGGCGACTTCAGAATATCGAATTTTTCACCAGGCCCGGTCGTCCTGCCAAATTTCATGAGTTTTCCCCAGTGGGAAGTGGGCCATTTTCCAGTTTAAAGCGGAGGAAAAATAATAATAACTAGGGCCCCGTTGGGGCACTGGCGGGCCCGAGCCGTGTCGCGCTGCCCCCCCCAACGCGCTGCCTCCCCGTCCCATTCGCGTCCTCTGGCCATCGTCCTCTCTGGTAACGCCCATCACTGCAAAGACCCTTTCCTTCATCGGCGTTTGCTGTTCTTCCTGCCAGTGCGTGTTGCTTTCACTTACACTTGCCACAGCCAGCCTCGTGAGTGCCTAGCCTATTGGATATCACTGTCATCTACACAGGACAGTCATAACCTTTCTATTAATACTTTGTTTTTTAATTTCACATTAATTTCCATATTGTATAAATGACTGGAAAAAACTTGAGCCCCTGCCCCTGTATAATCATGTGCACGTCCCTGTTCTAGCTCCAAGGTGAATCTTCACTGCTCATGTTCTCCTCAGAAATAGTCACCTCACTCCCCTCAGGTTACTGTACACATGCACCAACTATCTGCTTCAGGTTTGGATGGAGCTTCATGGTTGTCTTTTGGAGAAATGAACAGTCAAGTTGTGTTTGAAATTTGATTTTTTTCAGGGGCAAAAGGAAGCCTCTGCATTCTTGTCAAATATGTAAACAGCATGTTTTTGCAGGTGCTAAAAAACAGACTCTGAGTGTGTGTGTGTGTGTGTGTGTGTGTGTGTGTGTGTGTGTGTGTGTGTGTGTGTGTGTGTTGGCGTGTGTGTATATGTGTGTGTATCCTGCAGTACTCTGTACTCCTGCAGTGGCCAAAAAGACTTTTAAGAATGTGGATTTTTGGGTCATCTTTGGCGCCCCCTAGAACCTGCAGTACTCTGTACTCCTGCAGTGGCCAAAATGACTTTTAAGAATGTGGATTTTTGGGTCATCTTTGGCGCCCCCTAGAACGTAAACCGTGGGGTGCAGCGTCATGATTTTTACAACTTTGAATGGGCATGGGGTGTAGATTGCCCTGAGCAAATTTGGTATCAGTGGGACGAAAGCCTTAGGAGGAGATAGCCACATTCCAATGTGTGCGAATCGGCAAAAAATGCGAAATAGCCCTTTAACCGTACATTATACAGATACGCGCTCTTTGACTTTTTCGTAGATCTAATTGAGATACACATGATTGTCAATTTTTGTGTCAATATGACAAAGCGTTCAGGCGTGACACTCAACAATGTGTATTTTCATGTAAGGGGACAAGAAAAAATTGACTTTTTTCTCCTGCCATGGGGGGGCGCTCTTTTGGGGAGTAAAAATTCCTTCACAAATGTGTTGATGGCTGGACATTGCATCATCCTAGAAAACTTGGAGGGAGTGAGGACAAAAATAAAAAGTTATAAGACTTTTAAGAATGTGGATTTTTGGGTTATCTTTGGCGCCCCCTAGAACCTAAACCGTGGGGTGCAGCGTCATGATTTGTACAACTTTTAATGGCCATGGGGTGTAGACTGGCCTGAGCAAATGTGGTGCCGGTGGAACGAAAGCCTTCGGAGGAGTTAGAGAAATTCCAATGTGTGCGGATCGGCAAAAAATGCGAAATAACCCTTTAACTGTACATTTGACAGATACGCCCGCACTGACTTTTTTGTAGATCTTATTGAGATACATATGTGTGTCAATTTTTGTGTCAATATGACAAAACGTACAGACGTGACAGTCAATAGTGTGAATTTTCACCTTAGGGGGCGCTATGGAGCCATTTTGCATTTTATTGTTTGGGCGACTTCAAAATATCGAATTTTTCACCAGGCCCGGTCGTCCTGCCAAATTTCATGAGTTTTCGCCAGTGGGAAGTGGGCCATTTTCCAGTTTAAAGCGGAGGAAAAATAATAACTAGGGCCCCGTTGGGGCACTGGCGGGCCCGAGCCGTGTCGCGCTGCCCCCCCCAACGCGCTGCCTCCCCGTCCCATTCGCGTCCTCTGGCCATCGTCCTCTCTGGTAACGCCCATCACTGCAAAGACCCTTTCCTTCATCGGCGTTTGCTGTTCTTCCTGCCAGTGCGTGTTGCTTTCACTTACACTTGCCACAGCCAGCCTCGTGAGTGCCTAGCCTATTGGATATCACTGTCATCTACACAGGACAGTCATAACCTTTCTATTAATACTTTGTTTTTTAATTTCACATTAATTTCCATATTGTATAAATGACTGGAAAAAACTTGAGCCCCTGCCCCTGTATAATCATGTGCACGTCCCTGTTCTAGCTCCAAGGTGAATCTTCACTGCTCATGTTCTCCTCAGAAATAGTCACCTCACTCCCCTCAGGTTACTGTACACATGCACCAACTATCTGCTTCAGGTTTGGATGGAGCTTCATGGTTGTCTTTTGGAGAAATGAACAGTCAAGTTGTGTTTGAAATTTGATTTTTTTCAGGGGCAAAAGGAAGCCTCTGCATTCTTGTCAAATATGTAAACAGCATGTTTTTGCAGGTGCTAAAAAACAGACTCTGAGTGTGTGTGTGTGTGTGTGTGTGTGTGTGTGTGTGTGTGTGTGTGTTGGCGTGTGTGTATATGTGTGTGTATCCTGCAGTACTCTGTACTCCTGCAGTGGCCAAAAAGACTTTTAAGAATGTGGATTTTTGGGTCATCTTTGGCGCCCCCTAGAACTGCAGTACTCTGTACTCCTGCAGTGGCCAAAATGACTTTTAAGAATGTGGATTTTTGGGTCATCTTTGGCGCCCCCTAGAACGTAAACCGTGGGGTGCAGCGTCATGATTTTTACAACTTTGAATGGGCATGGGGTGTAGATTGCCCTGAGCAAATTTGGTATCAGTGGGACGAAAGCCTTAGGAGGAGATAGCCACATTCCAATGTGTGCGAATCGGCAAAAAATGCGAAATAGCCCTTTAACCGTACATTATACAGATACGCGCTCTTTGACTTTTTCGTAGATCTAATTGAGATACACATGATTGTCAATTTTTGTGTCAATATGACAAAGCGTTCAGGCGTGACACTCAACAATGTGTATTTTCATGTAAGGGGACAAGAAAAAATTGACTTTTTTCTCCTGCCATGGGGGGGCGCTCTTTTGGGGAGTAAAAATTCCTTCACAAATGTGTTGATGGCTGGACATTGCATCATCCTAGAAAACTTGGAGGGCAGTGAGGACAAAAATAAAAAGTTATAAGACTTTTAAAAATGTGGATTTTTGGGTTATCTTTGGCGCCCCCTAGAACCTAAACCGTGGGGTGCAGCGTCATGATTTGTACAACTTTTAATGGCCATGGGGTGTAGACTGGCCTGAGCAAATGTGGTGCCGGTGGAACGAAAGCCTTCGGAGGAGTTAGCGAAATTCCAATGTGTGCGGATCGGCAAAAAATGCGAAATAACCCTTTAACCGTACATTTGACAGATACGCCCGCACTGACTTTTTTGTAGATCTTATTGAGATACATATGTGTGTCAATTTTTGTGTCAATATGACAAAACGTACAGACGTGACAGTCAATAGTGTGAATTTCCACCTTAGGGGGCGCTATGGAGCCATTTTGCATTTTATTGTTTGGGCGACTTCAGAATATTGAATTTTTCACCAGGCCCGGTCGTCCTGCCAAATTTCATGAGTTTTCGCCAGTGGGAAGTGGGCCATTTTCCAGTTTAAAGCGGAGGAAAAATAATAATAATAATAACAAAAGAAGAATCCATCAGGAACAAGAGGGCTCTCGCAGCTGCTTAGCAGCTACGCTCGGGCCCTAATAATAATAACAAAAGAAGAATCCATCAGGAACAAGAGGGCTCTCGCAGCTGCTTAGCAGCTACGCTCGGGCCCTAAATAGAAAGGTAATGACTGTCCTGTGTAGGTGACAGTGATATCCAATAGGCTAGGCACTCACGAGGCTGGCTGTGGCAAGTGTAAGTGAAAGCAACACGCACTGGCAGGAAGAACAGCAAACGCCGATGAAGGAAAAGGGTCTTTGCAGTGATGGGCGTTAACAGAGAGGGCGATGGCCAGAGGACACAAATGGGACGGGGAGGCAGCATGTTGGGGGGGGGGGGGGGGAGACGCGACACGGCTCGGGCCCGCCAGTGCCCCAACGGGGTCCTAGTTATTATTTTTCCTCCCCTTTGAACTGGAAAATGGCCCACTTCCCACTGGCGAAAACTCATGAAATTTGGCAGGACGACCGGGCCTGGTGAAAAATTTGATATTCCGAAGTCGCCCAAACAAGAAAATGCAAAATGGCTCCATAGCGCCCCCTAAGGTGAAAATTCACACTATTGAGTGTCACGCCTGTACGCTTTGTCAAAATGACACAAAATTTGACACACACATGTATCTCAATAAGATCTACAAAAAAGTCAGTGCGGGCGTATCTGTCAAATGTACGGTTAAAGGGTTATTCCGCATTTTTTGCCGATCCGCACACATTGGAATTTCGCTAACTCCTCCGAAGGCTTTCGTTCCACCGGCACCACATTTGCTCAGGCCAATCTACACCCCATGGCCATTAAAAGTTATTCAAATCATGACGCTGCACCCCACGGTTTAGGTTCTAGGGGGCGCCAAAGATAACCCTAAAATCCACATATTTAAAAGTCTTATAACTTTTTATTTTTGTCCTCTCTGGCCTCCAAGTTTTCTAGGATGATGCAATGTCCAGCCATCAACACATTTGTGAAGGAATTTTTACTCCCCAAAAGAGCGCCCCCCCATGGCAGGAGAAAAAAGTCCATTTTTTCTTGTCCCATAAGGTGAAAATAAACATTGTTGACTGTCATACCTGTACGCTTTGTCATATTGACACAAAATTTGACACACACATGTATCTCAATAAGATCTACGAAAAAGTCAATGCGCGTGTATCTGTAAAATGTACGGTTAAAGGGCTATTTTGCATTTTTTGCCGATTAGCACACATTGGAATGTGGCTAACTCCTCCTAAGGCTTTCATCCCACTGACACCAAATTTGCTCAGGCCAATCTACACCCCATGGCCATTCAAAGTTTTAAAAATCATGACGCTGCACCCCACGGTTTACGTTCTAGGGGGCGCCAAAGATGACCCAAATATCCACATTCTTAAAAGAATCCACATCCCCCCCCCCCCCATCCCCCATCCCCCATCCCCCATGGCAGGAGAAACAGTCAAGTTTTTCCTGCCCATCACTCAATGGCTCAATCGCATCGCTCTCCCGGCAACACCGTAACGAGGAGCAACTTGCCGTTTAAATATATCCTAGCTGTGTTTGTGCCCTCACTCAGGGTCCAGACTTTTTTCAAATAGGACATGTAGTTTGTCTGCAGCGAGTGTTTTGGTAGAAACTGCGCCTCCCATTCATTATAATGGGAAATGACCACAGACAAGTGCGCACACCATCTTTGGACCTTGAGTGTGACGCGATCGGGAGGTGGAGGCGGTCGCACTGGGGGCGGCGCAACGCGGCTCGGGCCCGCCAGTGCCCCAACGGGGCCCTAGTCTTATTTTTCCTCCCCTTTGAAGGGGAAAATGGCCCACTTCCCACTGGCGAAAACTCATGACATTTGGCAGGATGACCGGGCCTGGTGAAAAATTCGATATTCTGAAGTCGCCCAAACAATAAAATGCAAAATGGCTCCATAGCGCCCCCTAAGGTGGAAATTCACACTATTGACTGTCACGCTTGTACGCTTTGTCATATTGACACAAAAATTGACACACACATGTATCTCAATACGATCTACAAAAAAGTCAGTGTGGGCGTATCTGTCAAATGTACGGTTAAAGGGTTATTTCGCATTTTTTGCCGATCCGCACACATTGGAATTTCGCTAACTCCTCCGAAGGCTTTCGTTCCACCGGCACCAAATTTGCTCAGGCCAATCTACACCCCATGGCCATTAAAAGTTGTGCAAATCATGACGCTGCACCCCACGGTTTACGTTCTAGGGGGCGCCAAAGATAACCCAAAAATCCACATTCTTAAAAGTCTTATAACTTTTTATTTTTGTCCTCACTGGCCTCCAAGTTCTCTAGGATGATGCAATGTCCAGCAATTAACACATTTGTGAAGGAATTTTTACTCGCCAAAAGAGCGCCCCCCCATGGCAGGAGAAAAAAGTCCATTTTTTTCTTGTCCCCTAATGCGAAAATACACATTGTTGAGTGTCACGCCTGTACGCTTTGTCATATTGACACAAAATTTGACAATCACGTGTATCTCAATAAGATCTACGAAAAAGTCAATGTGCACGTATCTGTAAAATGTACGGTTAAAGGGCTATTTCGCATTTTTTGCCGATTCGCACACATTGGAATGTGGCTAACTCCTCCTAAGGCTTTCGTTCCACTGACACCAAATTTGCTCAGGCCAATCTACACCCCATGGCCATTCAAAGTTGTAAAAATCATGACGCTGCACCCCACGGTTTACGTTCTAGGGGGCGCCAAAGATGACCCAAATATCCACATTCTTAAAAGTCGTTTTGGCCACTGCAGGAGTACAGAGTACTGCAGGATACACACACACAGACACACACACACAGACACACACACACACACACGCACACACACACACACACACACACACACACACACACACACACACACACACACACTCAGAGTCTGTTTTTCAGCACCTGCAAAAACATGCTATTTACATATTTGACAACAATGCAGAGACTTCCTTTTGCCCCTGAAAAAAATGAAATTTCAAACACAACTTGACTGCTCATTTCTCCAAAAGACAACCATGAAGCTCCATCCAAACCTGAAGCAGGCAGTTGGTGCATGTGTACAGTAACCTGAGGGGAGTGAGGTGACTGCTTCTGAGGAGAACATGAGCAGTGAAGATTCACCTTGGAGCTAGAACAGGGACGTGCACATGATTATACAGGGGCAGGGGCTCAAGTTTTTTCCAGTCGTTTATACAATATGGAAATTAATGTGAAATTAAAAAACAAAGTATTAATAGAAAGGTAATGACTGTCCTGTGTAGGTGACAGTGATATCCAATAGGCTAGGCACTCACGAGGCTGGCTGTGGCAAGTGCAAGTGAAAGCCACACGCACTGGCAGGAAGAACAGCAAACGCCGATGAAGGAAAAGGGTCTTTGCAGTGATGGGCGGGGGGCGCGACACAGCTCGGGCCCGCCAGTGCCCCAACGGGGCCCTAGTCTTTGTTTCTTTCTTTCTTTTTTCTTTTTCCTCCCCTTTGAACTGGAAAATGGCCCACTTCCCACTGGCGAAAACTCATGAAATTTGGCAGGACGACCGGGCCTGGTGAAAAATTTGATATTCTGAAGTCGCCAAAACAATAAAATGCAAAATGGCTCCATAGCGCCCCCTAAGGTGAAAATTCACACTATTCACTGTCACGACTGTACGCTTTGTCAAAATGACACAAAAATTGACACACACATGTATCTCAATAAGATCTACAAAAAAGTCAGTGCGGCCGTATCTGTCAAAATTACGGTTAAAGGGTTATTTCGCATTTTTTGCCGATCCGCACACATTGGAATTTCGCTAACTCCTCCGAAGGCTTTCGTTCCACCGGCACCACATTTGCTCAGGCCAATCTACACCCCGTGGCCATTAAAAGTTATCAAAATCATGACGCTGCACCCCAAGGTTTAGGTTCTAGGGGGCGCCAAAGATAACACTAAAATCCACATATTTAAAAGTCTTATAACTTTTTATTTTTGTCCTCACTGGCCTCCAAGTTTTCTAGGATGATGCAATGTCCAGCCATCAACACATTTGTGAAGGAATTTTTACTCCCCAAAAGAGCGCCCCCCCATGGCAGGAGAAAAAAGTCCATTTTTTCTTGTCCCCTAAGGTGAAAATACACATTGTTGAGTGTCACGCCTATACGTTTTGTCAAAATGACACAAAAATTGACACACACATGTAACTCAATAAGATCTACGAAAAAGTCAATGCGCGCGTATCTGTCAAATGTACGGTTAAAGGGTTATTCCGCATTTTTTGCCGATCCGCACACATTGGAATTTCGCTAACTCCTCCTAAGGCTTTCGTTCCACCGGCACCACATTTGCTCAGGCCAATCTACACCCCATGGCCATTAAAAGTTATTCAAATCATGACGCTGCACCCCACGGTTTAGGTTCTAGGGGGCGCCAAAGACAACCCTAAAATCCACATATTTAAAAGTCTTATAACTTTTTATTTTTGTCCTCACTGGCCTCCAAGTTTTCTAGGATGATGCAATGTCCAGCCATCAACACATTTGTGAAGGAATTTTTACTCCCAAAAAGAGCGCCCCCCCATGGCAGGAGAAAAAAGTCCATTTTTTCTTGTCCCCTAAGGTGAAAATACACATTGTTGAGTGTCACGCCTATACGCTTTGTCAAAATGACACAAAAATTGACACACACATGTAACTCAATAAGATCTACGAAAAAGTCAATGCGCGCGTATCTGTCAAATGTACGGTTAAAGGGTTATTCCGCATTTTTTGCCGATCCGCACACATTGGAATGTGGCTAACTCCTCCTAAGGCTTTCGTTCCACCGGCACCACATTTGCTCAGGCCAATCTACACCCCATGGCCATTAAAAGTTATCAAAATCATGACGCTGCACCCCACAGTTTACGTTCTAGGGGGCGCCAAAGATAACCCTAAAATCCACATATTTAAAAGTCTTATAACTTTTTATTTTTGCCCTCACTGGCCTCCAAGTTTTCTAGGATGATGCAATGTCCAGCCATCAACACATTTGTGAAGGAATTTTTACTCCCCAAAAGAGCGCCCCCCCATGGCAGGAGAAAAAAGTCCATTTTTTCTTGTCCCCTAAGGTGAAAATACACATTGTAGAGTGTCACGCCTGTACGCTTTGTCAAAATGACACAAAATTTGACATACACGTGTATTTCAATAAGATCTTCGACAAAGTCAATGGCCACGTATATGTAAAATGTACAGTTAAAGGGTTATTTCACATTTTTTGCAGATCCGCACACATTGGAATGTGGCTAACTCCTCCTAAGGCTTTCGTTCCACCGGCACCACATTTGCTCAGGCCAATCTACACCCCATGGCCATTAAAAGTTATCAAAATCATGACGCTGCACCCCACAGTTTACGTTCTAGGGGGCGCCAAAGAAAACCCTAAAATCCACATATTTAAAAGTCTTATAACTTTTTATTTTTGCCCTCACTGGCCTCCAAGTTTTCTAGGATGATGCAATGTCCAGCCATCAACACATTTGTGAAGGAATTTTTACTCCCCAAAAGAGCGCCCACCCCCCATGGCAGGAGAAAAAAGTCCATTTTTTCTTGTCCCTTAAGGTGAAAATACATATTGTTGAGATTCACGCCTATACGCTTTGTCATATTGACACAAAATTTGACAATCACGTGCCTTGCCTGGTATCATTTTTTTCAGCACAACCTCACCTGTGCGAATTTACAGTTATTTTATCATGTTGACATACTGAATTTACACAATGGACCCAAATTCACACACAAAACATAAAATCCGAGTGGAAAAAAGTAACATTTTTACTGTGAAAACCACAAATATGTGTGATGAACTGTTTTTAAAACTTAAACTTCAAATAAAAATTGTAAACTTCAAAACATATGCAAATTTTTAACAAAGAACATAGTGATTTACCTCTATTTACATCAAAATGCAGGCAATGGCCCAGGCGTTCTTTGTAAAATTATTTACAAAACACTGTATAGTCTCACAAATGTCACTTTTTATTTATGCCACTACAAAAAAACATGATGTAAATGATGCATGATGTAAAACATGATGTAAAAAACTTGTGTAGATCCTCCTCTATGTCAGTCCATGTGTAATTTTTCCATAATTCTTTGTTTTTTGCAGCATTTTTGTTAGTGTAACTGCAGATTGTGCTGACAGTGTCTATGGCAAAAAAAAAAAAAAAAAATTAAAATGCCTCAACATGAACCCCTGGTGGTCTCTGAGGGTGAAACCTGCTAACTGCTGCAGCTCTGTCAGCTTCAGTCTCCCATGCAGAGCTCTGAGCGCATGTGTGGCTCTGCACCCTTAGCAGCGTTGCTAACTCCTCAGTAAGGAAAGCCTGCTTCATGTCAGAGTCTCTAAACTCCAGAAGAAGTCGATAAAAGTCCCTTTCTTTCTAAAAAAAAGTCGTTAGGGGGTCTGAAAAGTCATTGAATCTAACAACAAAGTCGCTAGGTTTGCAACTACGTGTCCCAGACTGCATCCCTGCTGAGAGTCCCTCCCTCCCTTCTCATGTTGCAGGAAGAACGTAAGCGCCCGCCCCTTGTCAATCAGTCACCATATAATTTTGGATTGGTTGTTGTGGTGAAGTTTTCCACCAATAGGAGAGATGTTGTGGTGTGTTTTTTTTTTCTTTTGGCAAGCCTTTTCCGCCTGTAAGACCTGTCGTTAATGTCTGCATGCTGTGTTTTCCTGTCTCATACAGCGCGATCGAGCGCCGAACGTGATCAAAATAAGCAGAAAAAAAGTATCGCGGACATAATTTATCATAACTCTGGTTTTATTTGGCCTATCAACACAATTTAAAAACTGGTATATAGGTTGAGGTCCTCACTTTTGAGATAAGTTGAAACGGAGAGTCAACGAGGCTCCGTCTTGCAGCTACATCCGGTTAAATATGTCATGTGACTTGAACGCACACATAGACACACACACACGCACACTCACACACACACACACACACACACACACACACACACACACACTCAGAGTCTGGTTTTTAGCACCTGCAAAAACATGCTATTTACATATTTGACAAGAATGCAGAGGCTCCTTTTGCCCCTGAAAAAAATCAAATTTCAAACACAACTTGACTGGTAATTTCTCCAAAAGACAACCATGAAGCTCCATCCAAACCTGAAGCAGGCAGTTGGTGCATGTGTACAGTAACCTGAGGGGAGTGAGGTGAGTGCTTCTGAGGAGAACATGAGCAGTGAAGATTCACCTTGGAGCTAGAACAGAGACATGCACATGATTATACAGGGGCAGGGGCTCAAGTTTTTTCCAGTCGTTTATACAATATGGAAATTAATGTGAAATTAAAACACAAAGTATTAATAGAAAGGTAATGACTGTCCTGTGTAGGTGACAGTGATATCCAATAGGCTAGGCACTCACGAGGCTGGCTGTGGCAAGTGTAAGTGAAAGCAACACGCACTGGCAGGAAGAACAGCAAACGCCGATGAAGGAAAAGGGTCTTTGCAGTGATGGGCGTTAACAGAGAGGGCGATGGCCAGAGGACACAAATGGGACGGGGAGGCAGCACGTTGGGGGGGGGGGGACGCGACCCGAAACGGCTCGGGCCCGCCAGTGCCCCAACGGGGTCCTAGTTAGGGCCCGAGCGTAGCTGCTAAGCAGCTGCGAGAGCCCTATTATTCCCCAAGTGGTTTTTCTTTGTTTCTTTTTAGGGCCCGAGCCAGCTGCAGAGCAGCCGGGCGTAGGCCCTATTATTCCCCAAGTGGTTTTTCTTTGTTTCTTTCTTTCTTTCTTTAGGGCCCGAGCGTAGCTGCTAAGCAGCTGCGAGAGCCCTATTATTCCCCAAGGGGTTTTTCTTTGTTTCTTTTTTCTTTTTCCTCCCCTTTGAACTGGAAAATGGCCCACTTCCCACTGGCGAAAACTCATGAAATTTGGCAGGACGACCGGGCCTGGTGAAAAATTTTATATTCCGAAGTCGCCCAAACAAGAAAATGCAAAATGGCTCCATAGCGCCCCCTAAGGTGAAAATTCACACTATTGACTGTCACGCGTGTACGCTTTGTCAAAATGACACAAAAATTGACACACACATGTATCTCAATAAGATCTACAAAAAAGTCAGTGCGGGCGTATCTGTCAAATGTACGGTTAAAGGGTTATTTCGCATTTTTTGCCGATCCGCACACATTGGAATTTCGCTAACTCCTCCGAAGGCTTTCGTTCCACCGGCACCACATTTGCTCAGGCCAATCTACACCCCATGGCCATTAAAAGTTATTCAAATCATGACGCTGCACCCCACGGTTTAGGTTCTAGGGGGCGCCAAAGATAACCCTAAAATCCACATATTTAAAAGTCTTATAACTTTTTATTTCTGTCCTCACTGGCCTCCAAGTTTTCTAGGATGATGCAATGTCCAGCCATCAACACATTTGTGAAGGAATTTTTACTCCCTAAAAGAGCGCCCCCCCATGGCAGGAGAAAAAAGTCCATTTTTTCTTGTCCCCTAAGGTGAAAATACACATTGTTGAGTGTCACGCCTGTACGCTTTGTCAAAATGACACAAAAATTGACACACACATGTATCTCAATAAGATCTACAAAAAAGTCCATGAGCGCGTATCTGTCAAATGTACGGTTAAAGGGTTATTCCGCATTTTTTGCCGATTCGCACACATTGGAATTTCGCTAACTCCTCCGAAGGCTTTCGTTCCACCGGCACCACATTTGCTCAGGCCAAATTACACCCCATGGCCATTAAAAGTTATTCAAATCATGACGCTGCACCCCACGGTTTACGTTCTAGGGGGTGCCAAAGATAACCCAAAAATCCACATTTTTAAAAGTCTTATAACTTTTTATTTTTGTCCTCACTGGCCTCCAAGTTTTCTAGGATGATGCAATGTCCAGCCATCAACACATTTGTGAAGGAATTTTTACTCCCTAAAAGAGCGCCCCCCATGGCAGGAGAAAAAAGTCCATTTTTTCTTGTCCCCTAAGGTGAAAATACACATTGTTGACTGTCACGCCTGTACGCTTTGGCAAAATGACACAAAAATTGACAATCATGTGTATCTCAATTAGATCTACGAAAAAGTCAAAGGGCGCGTATCTGTATAATGTACGGTAAAAGGGCTATTTTGCATTTTTTGCCGATTCGCACACATTGGAATTTCGCTAACTCCTCCTAAGGCTTTCGTCCCACTGACACCAAATTTGCTCAGGCCAATCTACACTCCATGGCCATTCAAAGTTGTAAAGATCATGATGCTGCACCCCACGGTTTACGTTTTAGGGGGCGCCAAAGATGACCCAAATATACATTACAGTAGACAAAGTAGTTTTGCCCACTGAGTGGCGCCAAAGGGACTTGTCTGTGGAGTCTGTGAGTCACTATTGGCCGTTTTTGACTACTTTAGATTTTACCTTTATATTTCCTCTTACAAAATTTTTACCTTGCCTTGCCTGGTATCATTTTTTTCAGCACAACCTCACCTGTGTCAATTTACAGTTATTTTATCATTTTGACATACTATATTTACACATTGGACCCAAATTCACACACAAAACATAAAATCCGAGTGGAAAAAAGTAACGTTTTTACTGTGAAAACCACAAATATGTGTGATGAACTGTTTTTAAAACTTAAACTTCAAATAAAAATTGTAAACTTCAAAACATATGCAAATTTTTAACAAAGAACATAGTAATTTACCTCTATTTACATCAAAATGCAGGCAATGGCCCAGGTGTTCTTTGTAAAATTATTTACAAAACACTGTATAGTCTCACAAATGTCACTTTTTATTTATGCCACTAAAAAAAAACATGATGTAAATGATGCATGATGTAAAACATGATGTAAAAAACTTGTGTAGATCCTCCTCTATGTTAGTCCATGTGTAATTTTTCCATAATTCTTTGTTTTTTGCAGCATTTTTGTTAGTGTAACTGCAGATTGTGCTGACAGTGTCTATGGCAAAAAAAAAACAAAAAAAACTGAAAATGCCTCAACATGAACCCCTGGTGGTCTCTGAGGGTGAAACCTGCTAACTGCTGCAGCTCTGTCAGCTTCAGTCTCCCATGCAGAGCTCGGAGCGCATGTGTGGCTCTGCACCCTTAGCAGCGTTGCTAACTCCTCAGTAAGGAAAGCCTGCTTCATGTCAGAGTCTCTAAACTCCAGAAGAAGTCGATAAAAGTCACTTTCTTTCTAAAAAAAGTCGTTAGGGGGTCTGAAAAGTCATTGAATCTAACAACAAAGTCGCTAGGTTTGCAACTACGTGTCCCAGACTGCATCCCTGCTGAGAGTCCCTCCCTCCCTTCTCATATTGCAGGAAGAACGTAAGCGCCCGCCCCTTGTCAATCAGTCACCATATAATTTTGGATTGGTTGTTGTGGTGAAGTTTTCCACCAATAGGAGAGATGTTGTGGTGTGTTTTTTTTTTCTTTTGGCAAGCCTTTTCCGCCTGTAAGACCTGTCGCTAATGTCTGCATGCTATGTTTTCCTGTCTCATACAGCGCGATCGAGCGCCGAACGTGATCAAAATAAGCAGAAAAAAAGTATCGCGGACATAATTTATCATAACTCTGGTTTTATTTGGCCTATCAACACAATTTAAAAACTGGTATATAGGTTGAGGTCCTCACTTTTGAGATAAGTTGAAACGGAGAGTCAACGAGGCTCCGTCTTGCAGCTACATCCGGTTAAATATGTCATGTGACTTGAACGCACACACACACACACACACACACACACACACACACACACACAGACACACACACACACGCACACACACACACTCAGAGTCTGGTTTTTAGCACCTGCAAAAACATGCTATTTACATATTTGACAAGAATGCAGAGGCTCCTTTTGCCCCTGAAAAAAATCAAATTTCAAACACAACTTGACTGGTCATTTCTCCAAAAGACAACCATGAAGCTCCATCCAAACCTGAAGCAGGCAGTTGGTGCATGTGTACAGTAACCTGAGGGGAGTGAGGTGAGTGCTTCTGAGGAGAACATGAGCAGTGAAGATTCACCTTGGAGCTAGAACAGAGACCTGCACATGATTATACAGGGGCAGGGGCTCAAGTTTTTTCCAGTCGTTTATACAATATGGAAATTAATGTGAAATTAAAAAACAAAGTATTAATAGAAAGGTAATGACTGTCCTGTGTAGGTGACAGTGATATCGAATAGGCTAGGCACTCACGAGGCTGGCTGTGGCAAGTGTAAGTGAAAGCAACACGCACTGGCAGGAAGAACAGCAAACGCCGATGAAGGAAAAGGGTCTTTGCAGTGATGGGCGTTACCAGAGAGGGCGATGGCCAGAGGACACAAATGGGACGGGGAGGCAGCGCGTTGGGGGGGGACGCGACACAGCTCGGGCCCGCCAGTGCCCCAACGGGGTCCTAGTTAGGGCCCGAGCCAGCTGCAGAGCAGCCGGGCGTAGGCCCTATTATTCCCCAAGTGGTTTTTCTTTGTTTCTTTCTTTCTTTCTTTAGGGCCCGAGCGTAGCTGCTAAGCAGCTGCGAGAGCCCTATTATTCCCCAAGTGGTTTTTCTTTGTTTCTTTCTTTCTTTCTTTCTTCTTTTTCCTCCCCTTTGAACTGGAAAATGGCCCACTTCCCACTGGCGAAAACTCATGAAATTTGGCAGGACGACCGGGCCTGGTGAAAAATTCGATATTCTGAAGTCGCCCAAACAATAAAATGCAAAATGGCTCCATAGCGCCCCCTAAGGTGGAAATTCACACTATTGACTGTCACGCCTGTACGCTTTGTCATATTGACACAAAAATTGACACACATATGTATCTCAATAAGATCTACAAAAAAGTCAGTGCGGCCGTATCTGTCAAAATTACGGTTAAAGGGTTATTTCGCATTTTTTGCCGATCCGCACACATTGGAATTTCGCTAACTCCTCCGAAGGCTTTCGTTCCACCGGCACCACATTTGCTCAGGCCAATCTACACCCCGTGGCCATTAAAAGTTATCAAAATCATGATGCTGCACCCCAAGGTTTAGGTTCTAGGGGGCGCCAAAGATAACACTAAAATCCACATATTTAAAAGTCTTATAACTTTTTATTTTTGTCCTCACTGGCCTCCAAGTTTTCTAGGATGATGCAATGTCCAGCCATCAACACATTTGTGAAGGAATTTTTACTCCCCAAAAGAGCGCCCCCCCATGGCAGGAGAAAAAAGTCAATTTTTTCTTGTCCCCTAAGGTGAAAATACACATTGTTGAGTGTCACGCCTATACGCTTTGTCAAAATGACATAAAAATTGACACACACATGTAACTCAATAAGATCTACGAAAAAGTCAATGCGCGCGTATCTGTCAAATGTACGGTTAAAGGGTTATTCCGCATTTTTTGCCGATCCGCACACATTGGAATGTGGCTAACTCCTCCTAAGGCTTTCGTTCCACCGGCACCACATTTGCTCAGGCCAATCTACACCCCATGGCCATTAAAAATTATTCAAATCATGACGCTGCACCCTACGGTTTAGGTTCTAGGGGGCGCCAAAGATAACCCTAAAATCCACATATTTAAAAGTCTAATAACTTTTTATTTTTGTCCTCACTGGCCTCCAAGTTTTCTAGGATGATGCAATGTCCAGCCATCAACACATTTGTGAAGGAATTTTTACTCCCCAAAAGAGCGCCCCCCCATGGCAGGAGAAAAAAGTCCATTTTTTCTTGTCCCCTAAGGTGAAAATACATATTGTTGAGATTCACGCCTATACGCTTTGTCATATTGACACAAAATTTGACAATCACGTGCCTTGCCTGGTATCATTTTTTTCAGCACAACCTCACCTGTGCGAATTTACAGTTATTTTATCATGTTGACATACTGAATTTACACAATGGACCCAAATTCACACACAAAACATAAAATCCGAGTGGAAAAAAGTAACATTTTTACTGTGAAAACCACAAATATGTGTGATGAACTGTTTTTAAAACTTAAACTTCAAATAAAAATTGTAAACTTCAAAACATATGCAAATTTTTAACAAAGAACATAGTGATTTACCTCTATTTACATCAAAATGCAGGCAATGGCCCAGGCGTTCTTTGTAAAATTATTTACAAAACACTGTATAGTCTCACAAATGTCACTTTTTATTTATGCCACTACAAAAAAACATGATGTAAATGATGCATGATGTAAAACATGATGTAAAAAACTTGTGTAGATCCTCCTCTATGTCAGTCCATGTGTAATTTTTCCATAATTCTTTGTTTTTTGCAGCATTTTTGTTAGTGTAACTGCAGATTGTGCTGACAGTGTCTATGGCACAAAAAAAAAAAAAAAATTAAAATGCCTCAACATGAACCCCTGGTGGTCTCTGAGGGTGAAACCTGCTAACTGCTGCAGCTCTGTCAGCTTCAGTCTCCCATGCAGAGCTCTGAGCGCATGTGTGGCTCTGCACCCTTAGCAGCGTTGCTAACTCCTCAGTAAGGAAAGCCTGCTTCATGTCAGAGTCTCTAAACTCCAGAAGAAGTCGATAAAAGTCCCTTTCTTTCTAAAAAAAAGTCGTTAGGGGGTCTGAAAAGTCATTGAATCTAACAACAAAGTCGCTAGGTTTGCAACTACGTGTCCCAGACTGCATCCCTGCTGAGAGTCCCTCCCTCCCTTCTCATGTTGCAGGAAGAACGTAAGCGCCCGCCCCTTGTCAATCAGTCACCATATAATTTTGGATTGGTTGTTGTGGTGAAGTTTTCCACCAATAGGAGAGATGTTGTGGTGTGTTTTTTTTTTCTTTTGGCAAGCCTTTTCCGCCTGTAAGACCTGTCGCTAATGTCTGCATGCTATGTTTTCCTGTCTCATACAGCGCGATCGAGCGCCGAACGTGATCAAAATAAGCAGAAAAAAAGTATCGCGGACATAATTTATCATAACTCTGGTTTTATTTGGCCTATCATCACAATTTAAAAACTGGTATATAGGTTGAGGTCCTCACTTTTGAGATAAGTTGAAACGGAGAGTCAACGAGGCTCCGTCTTGCAGCTACATCCGGTTAAATATGTCATGTGACTTGAACGCACACACAGACACACACACACGCACACACACACACACACACACTCAGATTCTGGTTTTTAGCACCTGCAAAAACATGCTATTTACATATTTGACAAGAATGCAGAGGCTCCTTTTGCCCCTGAAAAAAATCAAATTTCAAACACAACTTGACTGGTCATTTCTCCAAAAGACAACCATGAAGCTCCATCCAAACCTGAAGCAGGCAGTTGGTGCATGTGTACAGTAACCTGAGGGGAGTGAGGTGAGTGCTTCTGAGGAGAACATGAGCAGTGAAGATTCACCTTGGAGCTAGAACAGAGACATGCACATGATTATACAGGGGCAGGGGCTCAAGTTTTTTCCAGTCGTTTATACAATATGGAAATTAATGTGAAATTAAAACACAAAGTATTAATAGAAAGGTAATGACTGTCCTGTGTAGGTGACAGTGATATCCAATAGGCTAGGCACTCACGAGGCTGGCTGTGGCAAGTGTAAGTGAAAGCAACACGCACTGGCAGGAAGAACAGCAAACGCCGATGAAGGAAAAGGGTCTTTGCAGTGATGGGCGTTACCAGAGAGGGCAATGGCCAGAGGACACAAATGGGACGGGAAGGAAGCACGTTGGGGGGGGGGGGGGGGGGCGACACGGCTCGGGCCCGCCCGTGCCCCCACGGGGTCCTAGTTAGGGCCCGAGCGTAGCTGCTAAGCAGCTGCGAGAGCCCTATTATTCCCCAAGTGGTTTTTCTTTGTTTCTTTTTAGGGCCCGAGCGTAGCTGCTAAGCAGCTGCGAGAGCCCTCTTGTTCCTGATGGATTCTTCTTTCGTTATTTTTCCTCCGCTTTAAACTGGAAAATGGCCCACTTCCCACTGGCGAAAACTCAGGATATTTGGCAGGACGACCGGGCCTGGTGAAAAATTTGATATTCTGAAGTCGCCCAAACAAAAAAATGAAAAATGGCTCCATAGCGCCCCCTATGGTGAAAACTCACCTGACGCCTGTACGCTTTGTCAAAATGACACAAAATTTGACACACATGTGTATCTCAATAAGATCTACAAAAAAGTCAGTGCGGGCGTATCTGTCAAATGTACGGTTAAAGGGCTATTTCGCATTTTTTGCCGATCCGCACACATTGGAATTTCGCTAACTCCTCCGAAGGCTTTCGTTCCACCGGCACCAAATTTGCTCAGGCCAATCTACACCCCATGGCCATTAAAAGTTGTACAAATCATGACGCTGCACCCCACGGTTTATGTTCTAGGGGGCGCCAAAGATAACCCAAAAATCCACATTCTTAAAAGTCTTATAACTTTTTATTTTTGTCCTCACTGGCCTCCAAGTTTTCTAGGATGATGCTATGTCCAGCCATCAACACATGTGTGAAGGAATTTTTACTCCCCAAAAGAGCGCCCCCCCATGGCAGGAGAAAAAAGTCAAGTTTTTCTTGTCCCCTAACATGAAAATACACATTGTTGAGTGTCACGCCTAAACGCTTTGTCATATTGACACAAAAATTGACACACACGTGTATCTCAATAAGATCTACGAAAAAGTCAAAGAGCGCGTATCTGTATAATGTACGGTTAAAGGTTTATTTCGCATTTTTTGCCGATCCGCACACATTGGAATTTCGCTAACTCCTCCGAAGGCTTTCGTTCCACCGGCACCAAATTTGCTCAGGCCAATCTACACCCCATGGCCATTAAAAGTTGTAAAAATCATGACGCTGCACCCCACGGTTTAGGTTCTAGGGGGCGCCAAAGATAACCCTAAAATCCAAATATTTAAAAGTCTTATAACTTTTTAGGGCCCGAGCGTAGCTGCTAAGCAGCTGCGAGAGCCCTATTATTCCTGATGGATTCTTCTTTCTTCTTCTTCTTCTTATTATTTTTCTGCCCCTTTGAACTGGAAAATGGCCCACTTCCCACTGGTGAAAACTCATGAAATTCGGCAGGACGACCGGGCCTGGTGAAAAATTCGATATTCTGAAGTCACCCAAACAATCAAATGCAAAATGGCTCCATAGCGCCCCCTAAGGTGAAAAATTCACATGATTGAGTGTCACGCCTGTACGCTTTGTCAAAATGACACAAAATTTGACACACACGTGTATCTCAATAAGATCTACAAAAAAGTCAGTGCGGGCGTATCTGTCAAATGTACGTTTAAAGGGCTATTTCGCATTTTTTGCCGATCCGCACACATTGGAATTTCGCTAACTCCTCCGAAGGCTTTCGTTCCACCGGCACCAAATTTGCTCAGGCCAATCTAACCCCCATGGCCATTCAAAGTTGTACAAATCATGACGCTGCACCCCACGGTTTACGTTGTACGGGGCGCCAAAGATAACCCAAAAATCCACATTCTTACAAGTCTTATAACTTTTTATTTCTGTCATCACTGGCCTCCAAGTTTTCTAGGATGATGCAATGTCCAGCCATCAACACATTTGTGAAGGAATTTTTACTCCCCAAAAGAGCGCCCCCCCATGGCAGGAGAAAAAAGTCCATTTTTTCTTGTCCTATAAGGTGAAAATACACATTGTTGAGTGTCACGCCTGTACGCTTTGTCATATTGAAACAAAATTTGATAATCACGTGTATCTCAATAAGATCTACGAAAAAGTCAACGCGCACGTGTCTGCAAAATGTACGGTTAAAGGGCTATTTCGCATTTTTGGTTGATTCGCACACATTGGAATGTGGCTAACTCCTCCTAAAGCTTTCGTTCCACCGGCACCAAATTTGCTCAGGCCAATCTACACCCCATGGCCATTAAAAGTTGTACAAATCATGATGCTGCACCCCACGGTTTACGTTCTAGGGGTCGCCAAAGATAACCCAAAAATCCACATTCTTAAAAGTCTTATAACTTTTCATTTTTGTCCTCACTGGCTTCAAAGTTTTCTAGGATGATGCAATGTCTAGCCATCAACACATTTGTGAAGGAATTTTTCTCCCTAAAAGAGTGCCCCCCCATGGCAGGAGAAAAAGTCAAGTTTTTCCTGCCCATCGCTCAATGGCTCAAACACATCGCTCTCTCGGAAAAAAACGAAAGGAGGAGGAACTTGCCATTTGGATATATCCTAGCTGTGTTTGTGCCCTCACTCATGGTCCAGACTTTTTTCAAATAGGACATGTAGTTTGTCTGCAGCAAGCGTTTTGGTAGAAACTGCGCCTCCCATTCATTATAATGGTAAATGACCACAGACAAGTGCGCACACAATCGTTGAACCTTGAGTGTGACGCGATCGGGAGGGAGAGGCGGTCGTGTTGGGGGCGGCGTGACACAGCTCGGGCCCGCCAGTGCCCCAACGGGGCCCTAGTATTATTATTATTTTTCCTCCCCTTTGAACTGGAAAATGGCCCACTTCCCACTGGCGAAAACTCATGAAATTTGGCAGGACGACCGGGCCTGGTGAAAAATTTGATATTCCGAAGTCGCCCAAACAAGAAAATGCAAAATGGCTCCATAGCGCCCCCTAAGGTGAAAATTCACACTATTCACTGTCACGCCGGTACGCTTTGTCAAAATGACACAAAAATTGACACACACATGTATCTCAATAAGATCTACAAAAAAGTCAGTGCGGGCGTATCTGTCAAATGTACGGTTAAAGGGTTATTTCGCATTTTTTGCCGATCCGCACACATTGGAATTTCGCTAACTCCTCCGAAGGCTTTCGTTCCACCGGCACCACATTTGCTCAGGCCAATCTACACCCCATGGCCATTAAAAGTTATTCAAATCATGACACTGCACCCCACGGTTTAGGTTCTAGGGGGCGCCAAAGATAACCCTAAAATCCACATATTTCAAAGTCTTATAACTTTTTATTTTTGCCCTCACTGGCCTCCAAGTTCTCTAGGATGATGCAATGTCCAGCCATCAACACATTTGTGAAGGAATTTTTACTCCCCAAAAGAGCGCCCCCCATGGCAGGAGAAAAAAGTCCATTTTTTCTTGTCCCATAAGGTGAAAATTCACACTATTGACTGTCACGCCTGTACGCTTTGTCAAAATTACACAAAAATTGACACACACATGTATCTCAATAAGATCTACAAAAAAGTCAGTGCTGGCGTATCTGTCAAATGTACGGTTAAAGGGTTATTGCGCATTTTTTGGCGATCCGCACACATTGGAATTTCGCTAACTCCTCCGAAGGCTTTCGTTCCACCGGCACCACATTTGCTCAGGCCAATCTACACCCCATGGCCATTAAAAGTTATTCAAATCATGACGCTGCACCCCACGGTTTAGGTTCTAGGGGGCGCCAAAGATAACCCTAAAATCCACATATTTAAAAGTCTTATAACTTTTTATTTTTGTCCTCTCTGGCCTCCAAGTTTTCTAGGATGATGCAATGTCCAGCCATCAACACATTTGTGAAGGAATTTTTACTCCCCAAAAGAGCGCCCCCCCATGGCAGGAGAAAAAAGTCCATTTTTTCTTGTCCCATAAGGTGAAAATACACATTGTTGACTGTCATACCTGTATGCTTTGTCATATTGACACAAAATTTGACACACACATGTATCTCAATAAGATCTACGAAAAAGTCAATGCGCGCGTATCTGTAAAATGTACGGTTAAAGGGCTATTTTGCATTTTTTGCCGATTAGCACACATTGGAATGTGGCTAACACCTCCTAAGGCTTTCGTCCCACTGACACCAAATTTGCTCAGGCCAATCTACACCCCATGGCCATTCAAAGTTTTAAAAATCATGACGCTTCACCCCACGGTTTACGTTCTAGGGGGCGCCAAAGAGGACCCAAATATCCACATTCTTAAAAGAATCCACATCCCCCCCCCCCCCCCCCCCCCCCCCATCCCCCATCCCCCATGGCAGGAGAAACAGTCAAGTTTTTCCTGCCCATCACTCAATGGCTCAATCGCATCGCTCTCCCGGCAACACCGTAACGAGGAGCAACTTGCCGTTTGGATATATCCTAGCTGTGTTTGTGCCCTCACTCATGGTCCAGACTTTTTTCAAATAGGACATGTAGTTTGTCTGCAGCGAGTGTTTTGGTAGAAACTGCGCCTCCCATTCATTATAATGGGAAATGACCACAGACAAGTGCGCACACCATCTTTGGACCTTGAGTGTGACGCGATCGGGAGGGGGAGGCGGTCGCACTGGGGGCGGCGCAACGCGGCTCATGCCCGCCAGTGCCCCAACGGGGCCCTAGTTTGTTAGGGCCCGAGCGTAGCTGCTAAGCAGCTGCGAGAGCCCTCTTGTTCCTGATGGATTCTTCTTTCGTTAGGGCCCGAGCCAGCTGCAGAGCAGCCGGGCGTAGGCCCTATTATTCCCCAAGTGGTTTTTCTTTGTTTCTTTCTTTCTTTTTTCTTTTTCCTCCCCTTTGAACTGGAAAATGGCCCACTTCCCACTGGCGAAAACTCATGAAATTTGGCAGGACGACCGGGCCTGGTGAAAAATTTGATATTCTGAAGTCGCCCAAACAATAAAATGCAAAATGGCTCCATAGCGCCCCCTAAGGTGAAAATTCACACTATTGACTGTCACGCCTGTACGCTTTGTCATATTGACACAAAAATTGACACACCTATGTATCTCAATAAGATCTACAAAAAAGTCAGTGCGGCCGTATCTGTCAAAATTACGGTTAAAGGGTTATTTCGCATTTTTTGCCGATCCGCACACATTGGAATTTCGCTAACTCCTCCGAAGGCTTTCGTTCCACCGGCACCACATTTGCTCAGGCCAATCTACACCCCGTGGCCATTAAAAGTTATCAAAATCATGACGCTGCACCCCAAGGTTTAGGTTCTAGGGGGCGCCAAAGATAACACTAAAATCCACATATTTAAAAGTCTTATAACTTTTTATTTTTGTCCTCACTGGCCTCCAAGTTTTCTAGGATGATGCAATGTCCAGCCATCAACACATTTGTGAAGGAATTTCTACTCCCCAAAAGAGCGCCCCCCCATGGCAGGAGAAAAAAGTCCATTTTTTCTTGTCCCCTAAGGTGAAAATACACATTGTTGAGTGTCACGCCTATACGCTTTGTCAAAATGACACAAAAATTGACACACACATGTAACTCAATAAGATCTACGAAAAAGTCAATGCGCGCGTATCTGTCAAATGTACGGTTAAAGGGTTATTCCGCATTTTTTGCCGATCCGCACACATTGGAATTTCGCTAACTCCTCCTAAGGCTTTCGTTCCACCGGCACCACATTTGCTCAGGCCAATCTACACCCCATGGCCATTAAAAGTTATCAAAATCATGACGCTGCACCCCACGGTTTAGGTTCTAGGGGGCGCCAAAGATAACCCTAAAATCCACATATTTTTTTCTTTTTCCTCCCCTTTGAACTGGAAAATGGCCCACTTCCCACTGGCGAAAACTCATGAAATTTGGCAGGACGACCGGGCCTGGTGAAAAATTTGATATTCTGAAGTCGCCCAAACAATAAAATGCAAAATGGCTCCATAGCGCCCCCTAAGGTGAAAATTCACACTATTGACTGTCACGCCTGTACGCTTTGTCATATTGACACAAAAATTGACACACATATGTATCTCAATAAGATCTACAAAAAAGTCAGTGCGGCCGTATCTGTCAAAATTACGGTTAAAGGGTTATTTCGCATTTTTTGCCGATCCGCACACATTGGAATTTCGCTAACTCCTCCGAAGGCTTTCGTTCCACCGGCACCACATTTGCTCAGGCCAATCTACACCCCGTGGCCATTAAAAGTTATCAAAATCATGACGCTGCACCCCAAGGTTTAGGTTCTAGGGGGCGCCAAAGATAACACTAAAATCCACATATTTAAAAGTCTTATAACTTTTTATTTTTGTCCTCACTGGCCTCCAAGTTTTCTAGGATGATGCAATGTCCAGCCATCAACACATTTGTGAAGGAATTTCTACTCCCCAAAAGAGCGCCCCCCCATGGCAGGAGAAAAAAGTCCATTTTTTCTTGTCCCCTAAGGTGAAAATACACATTGTTGAGTGTCACGCCTATACGCTTTGTCAAAATGACACAAAAATTGACACACACATGTAACTCAATAAGATCTACGAAAAAGTCAATGCGCGCGTATCTGTCAAATGTACGGTTAAAGGGTTATTCCGCATTTTTTGCCGATCCGCACACATTGGAATTTCGCTAACTCCTCCTAAGGCTTTCGTTCCACCGGCACCACATTTGCTCAGGCCAATCTACACCCCATGGCCATTAAAAGTTATCAAAATCATGACGCTGCACCCCACGGTTTAGGTTCTAGGGGGCGCCAAAGATAACCCTAAAATCCACATATTTAAAAGTCTTATAACTTTTTATTTTTGTCCTCACTGGCCTCCAAGTTTTCTAGGATGATGCAATGTCCAGCCATCAACACATTTGTGAAGGAATTTTTACTCCCCAAAAGAGCGCCCCCCCATGGCAGGAGAAAAAAGTCCATTTTTTCTTGTCCTCTAAGGTGAAAATACATATTGTTGAGATTCACGCCTATACGCTTTGTCATATTGACACAAAATTTGACAATCACGTGCCTTGCCTGGTATCATTTTTTTCAGCACAACCTCACCTGTGCGAATTTACAGTTATTTTATCATGTTGACATACTGAATTTACACAATGGACCCAAATTCACACACAAAACATAAAATCCGAGTGGAAAAAAGTAACATTTTTACTGTGAAAACCACAAATATGTGTGATGAACTGTTTTTAAAACTTAAACTTCAAATAAAAATTGTAAACTTCAAAACATATGCAAATTTTTAACAAAGAACATAGTGATTTACCTCTATTTACATCAAAATGCAGGCAATGGCCCAGGCGTTCTTTGTAAAATTATTTACAAAACACTGTATAGTCTCACAAATGTCACTTTTTATTTATGCCACTACAAAAAAACATGATGTAAATGATGCATGATGTAAAACATGATGTAAAAAACTTGTGTAGATCCTCCTCTATGTCAGTCCATGTGTAATTTTTCCATAATTCTTTGTTTTTTGCAGCATTTTTGTTAGTGTAACTGCAGATTGTGCTGACAGTGTCTATGGCACAAAAAAAAAAAAAAAATTAAAATGCCTCAACATGAACCCCTGGTGGTCTCTGAGGGTGAAACCTGCTAACTGCTGCAGCTCTGTCAGCTTCAGTCTCCCATGCAGAGCTCTGAGCGCATGTGTGGCTCTGCACCCTTAGCAGCGTTGCTAACTCCTCAGTAAGGAAAGCCTGCTTCATGTCAGAGTCTCTAAACTCCAGAAGAAGTCGATAAAAGTCCCTTTCTTTCTAAAAAAAAGTCGTTAGGGGGTCTGAAAAGTCATTGAATCTAACAACAAAGTCGCTAGGTTTGCAACTACGTGTCCCAGACTGCATCCCTGCTGAGAGTCCCTCCCTCCCTTCTCATGTTGCAGGAAGAACGTAAGCGCCCCCCTTGTCAATCAGTCACCATATAATTTTGGATTGGTTGTTGTGGTGAAGTTTTCCACCAATAGGAGAGATGTTGTGGTGTGTTTTTTTTTTCTTTTGGCAAGCCTTTTCCGCCTGTAAGAGCTGTCGCTAATGTCTGCATGCTATGTTTTCCTGTCTCATACAGCGCGATCGAGCGCCGAACGTGATCAAAATAAGCAGAAAAAAAGTATCGCGGACATAATTTATCATAACTCTGGTTTTATTTGGCCTATCAACACAATTTAAAAACTGGTATATAGGTTGAGGTCCTCACTTTTGAGATAAGTTGAAACGGAGAGTCAACGAGGCTCCGTCTTGCAGCTACATCCGGTTAAATATGTCATGTGACTTGAACGCACACACAGACACACACACACGCACACACACACACACACACACACACACACACACACACACACACACACACACACACACACACTCAGAGTCTGGTTTTTAGCACCTGCAAAAACATGCTATTTACATATTTGACAAGAATGCAGAGGCTCCTTTTGCCCCTGAAAAAAATCAAATTTCAAACACAACTTGACTGGTCATTTCTCCAAAAGACAACCATGAAGCTCCATCCAAACCTGAAGCAGGCAGTCGGTGCATGTGTACAGTAACCTGAGGGGAGTGAGGTGAGTGCTTCTGAGGAGAACATGAGCAGTGAAGATTCACCTTGGAGCTAGAACAGAGACATGCACATGATTATACAGGGGCAGGGGCTCAAGTTTTTTCCAGTCGTTTATACAATATGGAAATTAATGTGAAATTAAAACACAAAGTATTAATAGAAAGGTAATGACTGTCCTGTGTAGGTGACAGTGATATCCAATAGGCTAGGCACTCACGAGGCTGGCTGTGGCAAGTGTAAGTGAAAGCAACACGCACTGGCAGGAAGAACAGCAAACGCAGATGAAGGAAAAGGGTCTTTGCAGTGATGGGCGTTACCAGAGAGGGCGATGGCCAGAGGACACAAATGGGACGGGGAGGCAGCACGTTGGGGGGGGGGGGGGGGGGACGCGACACGGCTCGGGCCCGCCAGTGCCCCAACGGGGTCCTAGTTATTTTTCCTCCGCTTTAAACTGGAAAATGGCCCACTTCCCACTGGCGAAAACTCAGGAAATTTGGCAGGACGACCGGGCCTGGTGAAAAATTCGATATTCTGAAGTCGCCCAAACAAAAAAATGAAAAATGGCTCCATAGCGCCCCCTATGGTGAAAACTCACCTGACGCCTGTACGCTTTGTCAAAATGACACAAAATTTGACACACATGTGTATCTCAATAAGATCTACGAAAAAGTCAGTGCGGGCGCATCTGTGAAATGTACGGTTAGAGGGTTATTTCGCATTTTTTGCAGATCTGCACACATTGGAATTTCGCTAACTCCTCCGAAGGCATTCGTTCCACCGGCACCACATTTGCTCAGGCCAATCTACACCCCATGGCCATTAAAAGTTGTACAAATCATGACGCTGCACCCCACGGTTTACGTTCTAGGGGGCGCCAAAGATAACCCACAAATCCACATTCTTAAAAATCTTATAACTTTTTATTTTTGTCCTCATTGGCCTCCAAGTTTTCTAGGATGATGCAATGTCCAGCCATCAACACATTTGTGAAGGAATTTTTACTCCCCAAAACAGCGCCCCCCCCCCATGGCAGGACAAAAAAGGCCATTTTTTCTTGTCCCCTAAGGTGAAAATACACATTGTTCAGTGTCACGCCTATACGCTTTGTCATATTGACACAAAATTTGACACACACGTGTATCTCAATAAGATCTACGAAAAAGTCAATGGGCACATATCTGTAAAATGTACGGTTAAAGGGCTATCTTGCATTTTTTGCCGATTCGCACACATTAGAATGTGGCTAACTCCTCCTAAGGCTTTCGTTCTACTGACACCAAATTTGCTCAGGCCAATCTACACCCCATGGCCATTCAAAGTTGTACAAATCATGACGCTGCACCCCACGGTTTAGGTTCTAGGGGGCGCCAAAGATGACCCAAATATCCACATTTTTAAAAGTCTTATAACTTTTTATTTTTGTCCTCACTGGCCTCCAAGTTTTCTAGGATGATGCAATGTGCAGCCATCAACACATCTGTGAAGGAATTTTTCTCCCCAAAAGAGCGCCCCCCCCCCCCCATGGCAGGAGAAAAAGTCAAGTTTTTCCAGCCCATCGCTTAATGGCTCAAACGCATTGCTCTCCCGCTAAAACCAAAAGGAGGAGCAACTTGCCATTTGGATATGTCCTAGCTGTGTTTGTGCCCTCACTCATGGTCCAGAGTTTTTTCAAATAGGACATGTAGTTTGTCTGCAGCGAGCGTTTTGGTAGAAACTGTGCCTCCCATTCATTATAATGGGAAATGACCAAAGACAGGTGCGCACACCATCTTTGGACCTTGACTTTGACGTCACAGTTTGAGATACAAATGTTATTTGACCTCTGACCTTTGGTGGACACCCTAACCTTTCAACCCGCGAAAACGGCGTTTCAATAGCTCTTACGGCTTTCCTACAAATACACTTTGTTCAGCTACTCCTACTGTCCTTTAAGCTCTGCTTCTCAGATCATCAAAGAGTGTGCACGTGTGTAATGAGCGCATATTGAATGTTAATTATGTTAAATATGTTAATTATTAGAAGAAAAAACAACAACAGTCCTTTTGGACAAAATTTCTTTTTATTACAGAATTAGAATAATGGAAGCATAGTCCAAGGAAACCATTCAAGTGATGTCATACCTCATAATTTATTGAGATGTTGGCTAGTCTGGGCATTTCTTCATTCATCAGGTTTCCTGCATGCATACTAACAGAGCACATCAGTAGCAGTGAGTGATAAGTATGAGTGTGTCATTGTGTAAGAAAGAAAGTGGTTTACTTACACATCCATAGAAAATAGGTGGTTGAGCACAGCACGCAAACAAAGCTTTGCCACAACGGTTGAACTTCCCAAGTAGCTGATACCAAGGTCACACAATCATGGTGAGCAAAGGTCAAACCAGGCCAGGCACTCACGAGGCTGGCTGTGGCAAGTGTAAGTGAAAGCAACACACAATGGCAGGAAGAACAGCAAACACCGATGAAGGAAAAGGGTCTTTGCAGTGATGGGCGTCACCAGAGAGGGCGATGGCCAGAGGGCACGAATGGGACGGGGAGGCGGTCGCGCTGGGGGCGGCGCGACGCGGCTCGGGCCCGACAGTGCCCCAACGGGGCCCTAGTTATTTTTGTCCTCACTGCCCTCCAAGTTTTCTCGGATGATGCAATGTCCAGCCATCAACACATTTGTGAAGGAATTTTTACTCCCCAAAAGAGCGCCCCCCCATGGCAGGAGAAAAAAGTCAATTTTTTCTTGTCCCCTTACATGAAAATACACATTGTTGAGTGTCACGCCTGAACGCTTTGTCATATTGACACAAAAATTGACAATCATGTGTATCTCAATTAGATCTACGAAAAAGTCAAAAAGCGCGTATCTGTATAATGTACGGTTAAAGGGCTATTTCGCATTTTTTGCCGATTCGCACACATTGGAATGTGGCTATCTCCTCCTAAGGCTTTCGTCCCACCGATACCAAATTTGCTCAGGGCAATCTACACCCCATGGCCATTCAAAGTTGTAAAAATCATGACGCTGCACCCCACGGTTTACGTTCTAGGGGGCGCCAAAGATGACCCAAAAATCCACATTCTTAAAAGTCATTTTGGCCACTGCAGGAGTACAGAGTACTGCATTTCTAGGGGGCGCCAAAGATGACCCAAAAATCCACATTCTTAAAAGTCTTTTTGGCCACTGCAGGAGTACAGAGTACTGCAGGATACACACACATACACACACACACACACACACACACACACTCAGAGTCTGTTTTTTAGCACCTGCAAAAACATGCTGTTTACATATTTGACAAGAATGCAGAGGCTTCCTTTTGCCCCTGAAAAAAATCAGATTTCAAACACAACTTGACTGTTGATTTCTCCAAAAGACAACCATGAAGCTCCATCCAAACCTGAAGCAGATAGTTGGTGCATGTGTACAGTAACCTGAGGGGAGTGAGGTGACTATTTCTGAGGAGAACATGAGCAGTGAAGATTCACCTTGGAGCTAGAACAGGGACGTGCACATGATTATACAGGGGCAGGGGCTCAAGTTTTTTCCAGTCATTTATACAATATGGAAATTAATGTGAAATTAAACCACAAATATGTGTGATGAACTGTTTTTAAAAATTTAACTTCAAATAAAAATTGTAAACTTCAAAACATATGCAAATTTTTAACAAAGAACATAGTAATTTACCTCTATTTACATCAAAATGCAGGCAATGGCCCAGGCGTTCTTTGTAAAATTATTTACAAAACACTGTATAGTCTCACAAATGTCACTTTTTATTTATGCCACTACAAAAAAACATGATGTAAATGATGCATGATGTAAAACATGATGTAAAAAACTTGTGTAGATCCTCCTCTATGTCAGTCCATGTGTAATTTTTCCATAATTCTTTGTTTTTTGCAGCATTTTTGTTAGTGTAACTGCAGATTGTGCTGACAGTCTATGGCAAAAAAAACAAAAACTGAAAATGCCTCAACATGAACCCCTGGTGGTCTCTGAGGGTGAAACCTGCTAACTGCTGCAGCTCTGTCAGCTTCAGTCTCCCATGCAGAGCTCTGAGCGCATGTGTGGCTCTGCACCCTTAGCAGCATTGCTAACTCCTCAGTAAGGAAAGCCTGCTTCATGTCAGAGTCTCTAAACTCCAGAAGAAGTCGATAAAAGTCCCTTTCTTTCTAAAAAAAAGTCGTTAGGGGGTCTGAAAAGTCATTGAATCTAACAACAAAGTCGCTAGGTTTGCAACTACGTGTCCCAGACTGCATCCCTGCTGAGAGTCCCTCCCTCCCTTCTCATGTTGCAGGAAGAACGTAAGCGCCCGCCCCTTGTCAATCAGTCACCATATAATTTTGGATTGGTTGTTGTGGTGAAGTTTTCCACCAATAGGAGAGATGTTGTGGTGTGTTTTTTTTTCTTCTTTTGGCAAGCCTTTTCCGCCTGTAAGACCTGTCGCTAATGTGTGCATGCTATGTTTTCCTGTCTCATACAGCGCGATCGAGCGCCGAACGTGATCAAAATAAGCAGAAAAAAAGTATCGCGGACATAATTTATCATAACTCTGGTTTTATTTGGCCTATCAACACAATTTAAAAACTGGTATATAGGTTGAGGTCCTCACTTTTGAGATAAGTTGAAACGGAGAGTTAACGAGGCTCCGACTTGCAGCTACATCCGGTTAAATATGTCATGTGACTTGAACGCTGGGGAGCGTCAATCGAATCGAATCAAACCTAACTCTCAGATGAATCTTCAAAATTCACCTCAGAAATATGCTTATTATTCTTCTCAGAGTACTGCAGGATACACACACACACACACACACACACAGACACACACACACACACACACACACACACACGCACACACACACACACACACTCAGAGTCTGTTTTTTAGCACCTGCAAAAACATGCTATTTACATATTTGACAAGAATGCAGAGGCTTCCTTTTGCCCCTGAAAAAAATCAAATTTCAAACACAACTTGACTGCTCATTTCTCCAAAAGACAACCATGAAGCTCCATCCAAACCTGAAGCAGGCAGTTGGTGCATGTGTACAGTAACCTGAGGGGAGTGAGGTGACTGCTTCTGAGGAGAACATGAGCAGTGAAGATTCACCTTGGAGCTAGAACAGGGACGTGCACATGATAATACAGGGGCAGGGGCTCAAGTTTTTTCCAGTCGTTTATACAATAAGGAAATTAATGTGAAATTAAAAAACAAAGTATGACTGTCCTGTGTAGGTGACAGTGATATCCAATAGGCTAGGCACTCACGAGGCTGGCTGTGGCAAGTATAAGTGAAAGCAACACGCACTGGCAGGAAGAACAGCAAACGCCGATGAAGGAAAAGGGTCTTTGCAGTGATGGGCGTTACCAGAGAGGGCGATGGCCAGAGGACGCGAATGGGACGGGGAGGCAGCGCGTTGGGGGGGGGGGGGTGCGACACGGCTCGGGCCCGCCAGTGCCCCAACGGGGCCCTAGTTAGGGCCCGAGCGTAGCTGCTAAGCAGCTGCGAGAGCCCTATTATTCCCCAAGGGATTTTTCTTTGTTTCTTTCTTTCTTCTTTTTCCTCCCCTTTGAACTGGAAAATGGCCCACTTCCCACTGGCGAAAACTCATGAAATTTGGCAGGATGACCGGGCCTGGTGAAAAATTTAATATTCTGAAGTCGCCCAAACAATAAAATGCAAAATGGCTCCATAGCGCCCCCTAAGGTGAAAATTCACACTATTGACTGTCACGCCTTTACGCTTTGTCATATTGACACAAAAATTGACACACACATGTATCTCAATAAGATCTACAAAAAAGTCAGTGCGGGCGTATCTGTCAAATGTACGGTTAAAGGGTTATTCCGCATTTTTTGCCGATCCGCACACATTGGAATTTCGCTAACTCCTCTGAAGGCTTTCGTTCCACCGGCACCACATTTGCTCAGGCCAATCTACACCCCATGGCCATTAAAAGTTATTCAAATCATGACGCTGCACCCCACGGTTTAGGTTCTAGGGGGCGCCAAAGATAACCCTAAAATCCACATATTTAAAAGTCTTATAACTTTTTATTTTTGACCTCACTGGCCTCCAAGTTTTCTAGGATGATGCAATGTCCAGCTATCAACACATTTGTGAAGGAATTTTTAATCCCCAAAAGAGCGCCCCCCCATGGCAGGAGAAAAAAGTCCATTTTTTCTTGTCCCCTAAGGTGAAAATACACATTGTTGAGTGTCACGCCTGTACGCTTTGTCATATTGACACAAAATGTGACACACACATGTATATCAATAAGATCTACAAAAAAGTCCATGCGCGCGTATCTGTCAAATGTACGGTTAAAGGGTTATTCCGCATTTTTTGCCGATACGCACACATTGGAATTTCGCTAACTCCTCCGAAGGCTTTCGTTCCACCGGCACCACATTTGCTCAGGCCAATCTACACCCCATGGCCATTAAAAGTTATTCAAATCATGATGCTGCATCCCCCTGGTTTAGGTTCTAGGGGGCGCCAAAAATAACCCAAAAATCCACATTCTTAAATGTTTTATAACTTTTTTTTTTTGTCCTCACTGGCCTCCAAGTTTTCTAGGATGATGCAATGTCCAGCCATCAACACATTTGTGAAGGAATTTTTACTCCCCAAAAGAGCGCCCCCCCCATGGTAGGAGAAAAAAGTCAATTTTTTCTTGTCCCCTTACATGAAAATACACATTGTTAAGTGTCACGCCTGAACGCTATGTCATATTGACACAAAAATTGACAATCATGTGTATCTCAATTAGATCTACAAAAAAGTCAAAGAGCGCATATCTGTATAATGTACGGTTAAAGGGCTATTTTGCATTTTTTGCCGATTCGCACACATTGGAATGTGGCTATCTCCTCCTAAGGCTTTCGTCCCACCGATACCAAATTTGCTCAGGGCAATCTACACCCCATGCCCATTCAAAGTTGTAAAAATCATGACGCTGCACCCCACGGTTTACGTTCTAGGGGGCGCCAAAGATGACCCAAAAATCCACATTCTTAAAAGTCATTTTGGCCACTGCAGGAGTACAGAGTACTGCAGTTCTAGGGGGCGCCAAAGATGACCCAAAAATCCACATTCTTAAAAGTCTTTTTGGCCACTGCAGGAGTACAGAGTACTGCAGGATACACACACATATACACACACGCCAACATACACACACACACACACACACACAGACACACACACACACTCAGAATCTGTTTTTTAGCACCTGCAAAAACATGCTGTTTACATATTTGACAAGAATGCAGAGGCTTCCTTTTGCCCCTGAAAAAAATCAAATTTCAAACACAACTTGACTGTTCATTTCTCCAAAAGACAACCATGAAGCTCCATTTCAAACCTGAAGCAGATAGTTGGTGCATGTGTACAGTAACCTGAGGGGAGTGAAGTGACTATTTCTGAGGAGAACATGAGCAGTGAAGATTCACCTTGGAGCTAGAACAGGGACGTGCACATGATTATACAGGGGCAGGGGCTCAAGTTTTTTCCAGTCATTTATACAATATGGAAATTAATGTGAAATTAAACCACAAATATGTGTGATGAACTGTTTTTAAAACTTAAACTTCAAATAAAAATTGTAAACTTCAAAACATATGCAAATTTTTAACAAAGAACATAGTAATTTACCTCTATTTACATCAAAATGCAGGCAATGGCCCAGGCGTTCTTTGTAAAATTATTTACAAAACACTGTATAGTCTCACAAATGTCACTTTTTATTTATGCCACTACAAAAAAACATGATGTAAATGATGCATGATGTAAAACATGATGTAAAAAACTTGTGTAGATCCTCCTCTATGTCAGTCCATGTGTAATTTTTCCATAATTCTTTGTTTTTTGCAGCATTTTTGTTAGTGTAACTGCAGATTGTGCTGACAGTGTCTATGGCACAAAAAAAAAAAAAATTAAAATGCCTCAACATGAACCCCTGGTGGTCTCTGAGGGTGAAACCTGCTAACTGCTGCAGCTCTGTCAGCTTCAGTCTCCCATGCAGAGCTCTGAGCGCATGTGTGGCTCTGCACCCTTAGCAGCATTGCTAACTCCTCAGTAAGGAAAGCCTGCTTCATGTCAGAGTCTCTAAACTCCAGAAGAAGTCGATAAAAGTCACTTTCTTTCTAAAAAAAAGTCGTTAGGGGGTCTGAAAAGTCATTGAATCTAACAACAAAGTCGCTAGGTTTGCAACTACGTGTCCCAGACTGCATCCCTGCTGAGAGTCCCTCCCTCCCTTCTCATGTTGCAGGAAGAACGTAAGCGCCCGCCCCTTGTCAATCAGTCACCATATAATTTTGGATTGGTTGTTGTGGTGAAGTTTTCCACCAATAGGAGAGATGTTGTGGTGTGTTTTTTTTTTCTTTTGGCAAGCCTTTTCCGCCTGTAAGACCTGTCGCTAATGTCTGCATGCTATGTTTTCCTGTCTCATACAGCGCGATCGAGCGCCGAACGTGATCAAAATAAGCAGAAAAAAAGTATCGCGGACATAATTTATCATAACTCTGGTTTTATTTGGCCTATCAACACAATTTAAAAACTGGTATATAGGTTGAGGTCCTCACTTTTGAGATAAGTTGAAACGGAGAGTCAACGAGGCTCCGTCTTGCAGCTACATCCGGTTAAATATGTCATGTGACTTGAACGCACACACAGACACACGCACACACACACACACACACACACACACACACTCAGAGTCTGGTTTTTAGCACCTGCAAAACATGCTATTTACATATTTGACAAGAATGCAGAGGCTCCTTTTGCCCCTGAAAAAAATCAAATTTCAAACACAACTTGACTGGTCATTTCTCCAAAAGACAACCATGAAGCTCCATCCAAACCTGAAGCAGGCAGTTGGTGCATGTGTACAGTAACCTGAGGGGAGTGAGGTGAGTGCTTCTGAGGAGAACATGAGCAGTGAAGATTCACCTTGGAGCTAGAACAGAGACATGCACATGATTATACAGGGGCAGGGGCTCAAGTTTTTTCCAGTCGTTTATACAATATGGAAATTAATGTGAAATTAAAACACAAAGTATTAATAGAAAGGTAATGACTGTCCTGTGTAGGTGACAGTGATATCCAATAGGCTAGGCACTCACGAGGCTGGCTGTGGCAAGTGTAAGTGAAAGCAACACGCACTGGCAGGAAGAACAGCAAACGCCGATGAAGGAAAAGGGTCTTTGCAGTGATGGGCGTTAACAGAGAGGGCGATGGCCAGAGGACACAAATGGGACGGGGAGGCAGCACGTTAGGGGGGGGGACGCGACACGGCTCGGGCCCGCCAGTGCCCCAACGGGGTCCTAGTTTCTTTTTCCTCCCCTTTGAACTGGAAAATGGCCCACTTCCCACTGGCGAAAACTCATGAAATTTGGCAGGACGACCGGGCCTGGTGAAAAATTTGATATTCTGAAGTCGCCCAAACAATACAATGCAAAATGGCTCCATAGCGCCCCCTAAGGTGAAAAATTCACCTGACGCCTGTACGCTTTGTCAAAATGACACAAAAATTGACACACACATGTATCTCAATAAGATCTACAAAAAAGTCAGTGCGGGCGTATCTGTCAAATGTACGGTTAAAGGGTTATTTCGCATTTTTTGCCGATCCGCACACATTGGAATTTCGCTAACTCCTCCGAAGGCTTTCGTTCCACCGGCACCACATTTGCTCAGGCCAATCTACACCCCATGGCCATTAAAAGTTATTCAAATCATGACGCTGCACCCCACGGTTTAAGTTCTAGGGGGCGCCAAAGATAACCCTAAGATCCACATATTTAAAAGTCTTATAACTTTTTATTTTTGCCCTCACTGGCCTCCAAGTTTTCTAGGATGATGCAATGTCCAGCCATCAACACATTTGTGAAGGAATTTTTACTCCCCAAAAGAGCGCCCCCCCATGGCAGGAGAAAAAAGTCCATTTTTTCTTGTCCCCTAAGGTGAAAATACACATTGTTGAGTGTAACACCTGTACGCTTTGGCAAAATGACACAAAAATTGACACACACATGTATCTCAATAAGATCTACGAAAAAGTCAATGCGCGCATATCTGTCAAATGTACGGTTAAAGGGTTATTCCGCATTTTTTGCCGATCCGCACACATTGGAATTTCGCTAACTCCTCTGAAGGCTTTCGTTCCACCGGCACCACATTTTCTCAGGCCAATCTACACCCCATGGCCATTAAAAGTTATTCAAATCATGACGCTGCACCCCACGGTTTAGGTTCTAGGGGGCGCCAAAGATAACCCTAAAATCCACATATTTAAAAGTCTTATAACTTTTTATTTTTGTCCCCACTGGCCTCCAAGTTTTCTAGGATGATGCAATGTCCAGCCATCAACACATTTGTGAAGGAATTTTTACTCGCCAAAAGAGCGCCCCCCATGGCAGGAGAAAAAAGTCCATTTTTTCTTGTCCACTAAGGTGAAAATACACATTGTTGAGTGCTACGCCTGTATGTTTTGTCGTATTGACACAAAATTTTACATACACGTGTCTTTCAATAAGATCTTCGAAAAAGTCAATGGCCACGTATCTGTAAAATGTACGGTTAAAGGGTTATTTCGCATTTTTTGCAGATTCGCACACATTGGAATTTCGCTAACTCCTCCGAAGGCTTTCGTTCCACCGGCACCACATTTGCTCAGGCCAATCTACACCCCATGGCCATTAAAAGTTATTCAAATCATGATGCTGCACCCCACGGTTTAGGTTCTAGGGGGCGCCAAAGATAACCCTAAAATCCACATATTTCAAAGTCTTATAACTTTTTATTTTTGTCCCCACTGGCCTCCAAGTTTTCTAGGATGATGCAATGTCCAGCCATCAACACATTTGTGAAGGAGTTTTTTCTCGTTAAAAGAGCGCCCCCCCATGGCAGGAGAATAAAGTCAAGTTTTTCCTGTTCATCATTCAATGGCTCAAACGCACTGCTCTCTCGGCAAAAGCAAAAGGAGGAGCAACTTGCCATTTGGATATATCTTAGCTGTGTTTGTGCCCTCACTCATGGTCCAGACTTTTTTCAAATAGGACATGGAGTTTTTCTGCAGCGAGCGTTTTGGTAGAAACTGCGCCTCCCGTTCATTATAATGGTAAATGACCACAAACAAGTGCGCACACCATCTTTGGACCTTGAGTGTGACGCGATCGGGTGGGGGAGGCGGTCGTGCTGGGGGCGGCGTGACACGGCTCGGGCCCGCCAGTGCCCCAACGGGGCCCTAGTTCTTTCTTTCTTTCTTCTTTTTCCTCCCCTTTGAACTGGAAAATGGCCCACTTCCCACTGGCGAAAACTCATGAAATTTGGCAGGACGACCGGGCCTGGTGAAAAATTCGATATTCTGAAGTCGCCCAAACAATAAAATGCAAAATGGCTCCATAGCGCCCCCTAAGGTGGAAATTCACACTATTGACTGTCACGCCTGTACGCTTTGTCATATTGACACAAAAATTGACACACATATGTATCTCAATAAGATCTACAAAAAAGTCAGTGCGGCCGTATCTGTCAAAATTACGGTTAAAGGGTTATTTCGCATTTTTTGCAGATCCGCACACATTGGAATTTCGCTAACTCCTCCGAAGGCTTTCGTTCCACCGGCACCACATTTGCTCAGGCCAATCTACACCCCGTGGCCATTAAAAGTTATCAAAATCATGACGCTGCACCCCAAGGTTTAGGTTCTAGGGGGCGCCAAAGATAACACTAAAATCCACATATTTAAAAGTCTTATAACTTTTTATTTTTGTCCTCACTGGCCTCCAAGTTTTCTAGGATGATGCAATGTCCAGCCATCAACACATTTGTGAAGGAATTTTTACTCCCCAAAAGAGCGCCCCCCCATGGCAGGAGAAAAAAGTCCATTTTTTCTTGTCCCCTAAGGTGAAAATACACATTGTTGAGTGTCACGCCTATACGCTTTGTCAAAATGACACAAAAATTGACACACACATGTAACTCAATAAGATCTACAAAAAAGTCCATGCGCGCGTATCTGTCAAATGTACAGTTAAAGGGTTATTCCGCATTTTTTGCCGATACGCACACATTGGAATTTCGCTAACTCCTCCGAAGGCTTTCGTTCCACCGGCACCACATTTGCTCAGGCCAATCTACACCCCATGGCCATTAAAAGTTATTCAAATCATGATGCTGCACCCCATGGTTTAGGTTCTAGGGGGCGCCAAAAATAACCCAAAAATCCACATTCTTAAATGTTTTATAACTTTTTATTTTTGTCCTCACTGGCCTCCAAGTTTACTAGGATGATGCAATGTCCAGCCATCAACACATTTGTGAAGGAATTTTTACTCCCCAAAAGAGCGCCCCCCATGGTAGGAGAAAAAAGTCAATTTTTTCTTGTCCCCTTACATAAAAATACACATTGTTGAGTGTCACGCCTGAACGCTTTGTCATATTGACACAAAAATTGACAATCATGTGTATCTCAATTAGATCTACGAAAAAGTCAAAGAGCGCGTATCTGTATAATGTACGGTTAAAGGGCTATTTTGCATTTTTTGCCGATTCGCACACATTGGAATGTGGCTATCTCCTCCTAAGGCTTTCGTCCCACCGATACCAAATTTGCTCAGGGCAATCTACACCCCATGCCCATTCAAAGTTGTAAAAATCATGACGCTGCACCCCACGGTTTACGTTCTAGGGGGCGCCAAAGATGACCCAAAAATCCACATTCTTAAAAGTCATTTTGGCCACTGCAGGAGTACAGAGTACTGCAGTTCTAGGGGGCGCCAAAGATGACCCAAAAATCCACATTCTTAAAAGTCTTTTTGGCCACTGCAGGAGTACAGAGTACTGCAGGATACACACACATATACACACACGCCAACATACACACACACACACACACACACACACACACACACACACACACACACACACACACACACACAGACACACACACACACTCAGAGTCTGTTTTTTAGCACCTGCAAAAACATGCTGTTTACATATTTGACAAGAATGCAGAGGCTTCCTTTTGCCCCTGAAAAAAATCAAATTTCAAACACAACTTGACTGTTCATTTCTCCAAAAGACAACCATGAAGCTCCATTTCAAACCTGAAGCAGATAGTTGGTGCATGTGTACAGTAACCTGAGGGGAGTGAGGTGACTATTTCTGAGGAGAACATGAGCAGTGAAGATTCACCTTGGAGCTAGAACAGGGACGTGCACATGATTATACAGGGGCAGGGGCTCAAGTTTTTTCCAGTCATTTATACAATATGGAAATTAATGTGAAATTAAACCACAAATATGTGTGATGAACTGTTTTTAAAACTTAAACTTCAAATAAAAATTGTAAACTTCAAAACATATGCAAATTTTTAACAAAGAACATAGTAATTTACCTCTATTTACATCAAAATGCAGGCAATGGCCAAGGCGTTCTTTGTAAAATTATTTACAAAACACTGTATAGTCTCACAAATGTCACTTTTTATTTATGCCACTACAAAAAAACATGATGTAAATGATGCATGATGTAAAACATGATGTAAAAAACTTGTGTAGATCCTCCTCTATGTCAGTCCATGTGTAATTTTTCCATAATTCTTTGTTTTTTGCAGCATTTTTGTTAGTGTAACTGCAGATTTTGCTGACAGTGTCTATGGCACAAAAAAAAAAAAATTAAAATGCCTCAACATGAACCCCTGGTGGTCTCTGAGGGTGAAACCTGCTAACTGCTGCAGCTCTGTCAGCTTCAGTCTCCCATGCAGAGCTCTGAGCGCATGTGTGGCTCTGCACCCTTAGCAGCGTTGCTAACTCCTCAGTAAGGAAAGCCTGCTTCATGTCAGAGTCTCTAAACTCCAGAAGAGGTCGATAAAAGTCCCTTTCTTTCTAAAAAAAAGTCGTTAGGGGGTCTGAAAAGTCATTGAATCTAACAACAAAGTCGCTAGGTTTGCAACTACGTGTCCCAGACTGCATCCCTGCTGAGAGTCCCTCCCTCCCTTCTCATGTTGCAGGAAGAACGTAAGCGCCCGCCCCTTGTCAATCAGTCACCATATAATTTTGGATTGGTTGTTGTGGTGAAGTTTTCCACCAATAGGAGAGATGTTGTGGTGTGTTTTTTTTTTCTTTTGGCAAGCCTTTTCCGCCTGTAAGACCTGTCGCTAATGTCTGCATGCTATGTTTTCCTGTCTCATACAGCGCGATCGAGCGCCGAACGTGATCAAAATAAGCAGAAAAAAAGTATCGCGGACATAATTTATCATAACTCTGGTTTTATTTGGCCTATCAACACAATTTAAAAACTGGTATATAGGTTGAGGTCCTCACTTTTGAGATAAGTTGAAATGGAGAGTCAACGAGGCTCCGTCTTGCAGCTACATCAGGTTAAATATGTCATGTGACTTGAACGCACACATAGACACACACACACGCACACACACACACACACACACACACACACACACACACACACACTCAGAGTCTGGTTTTTAGCACCTGCAAAAATATGCTATTTACATATTTGACAAGAATGCAGAGGCTCCTTTTGCCCCTGAAAAAAATCAAATTTCAAACACAACTTGACTGGTCATTTCTCCAAAAGACAACCATGAAGCTCCATCCAAACCTGAAGCAGGCAGTTGGTGCATGTGTACAGTAACCTGAGGGGAGTGAGGTGAGTGCTTCTGAGGAGAACATGAGCAGTGAAGATTCACCTTGGAGCTAGAACAGAGACATGCACATGATTATACAGGGGCAGGGGCTCAAGTTTTTTCCAGTCGTTTATACAATATGGAAATTAATGTGAAATTAAAACACAAAGTATTAATAGAAAGGTAATGACTGTCCTGTGTAGGTGACAGTGATATCCAATAGGCTAGGCACTCACGAGGCTGGCTGTGGCAAGTGTAAGTGAAAGCAACACGCACTGGCAGGAAGAACAGCAAACGCCGATGAAGGAAAAGGGTCTTTGCAGTGATGGGCGTTACCAGAGAGGGCGATGGCCAGAGGTTACAAATGGGACGGGGAGGCAGCACGTTGGGGGGGGGGGACGCGACACGGCTCGGGCCCGCCAGTGCCCCAACGGGGTCCTAGTTTCTTTTTCCTCCCCTTTGAACTGGAAAATGGCCCACTTCCCACTGGCGAAAACTCATGAAATTTGGCAGGACGACCGGGCCTGGTGAAAAATTTGATATTCTGAAGTCGCCCAAACAATACAATGCAAAATGGCTCCATAGCGCCCCCTAAGGTGAAAAATTCACCTGACGCCTGTACGCTTTGTCAAAATGACACAAAAATTGACACACACATGTATCTCAATAAGATCTACAAAAAAGTCAGTGCAGGCGTATCTGTCAAATGTACGGTTAAAGGGTTATTGCGCATTTTTTGCCGATCCGCACACATTGGAATTTCGCTAACTCCTCCGAAGGCTTTCGTTCCACCGGCACCACATTTGCTCAGGCCAATCTACACCCAATGGCCATTAAAAGTTATTCAAATCATGACGCTGCACCCCACGGTTTAGGTTCTAGGGGGCGCCAAAGATAACCCTAAAATCCACATATTTCAAAGTCTTATAACTTTTTATTTTTGCCCTCACTGGCCTCCAAGTTTTCTAGGATGATGCAATGTCCAGCCATCAACACATTTGTGAAGGAATTTTTACTCCCCAAAAGAGCGCCCCCCCATGGCAGGAGAAAAAAGTCCATTTTTTCTTGTCCCATAAGGTGAAAATTCACACTATTGACTGTCACGCCTGTACGCTTTGTCAAAATTACACAAAAATTGACACACACATGTATCTCAATAAGATCTACAAAAAAGTCAGTGCGGGCGTATCTGTCAAATGTACGGTTAAAGGGTTATTGCGCATTTTTTGCCGATCCGCACACATTGGAATTTCGCTAACTCCTCCGAAGGCTTTCGTTCCACCGGCACCACATTTGCTCAGGCCAATCTACACCCCATGGCCATTAAAAGTTATTCAAATCATGACGCTGCACCCCACGGTTTAGGTTCTAGGGGGCGCCAAAGATAACCCTAAAACCCACATATTTAAAAGTCTTATAACTTTTTATTTTTGTCCTCTCTGGCCTCCAAGTTTTCTAGGATGATGCAATGTCCAGCCATCAACACATTTGTGAAGGAATTTTTACTCCCCAAAAGAGCGCCCCCCCATGGCAGGAGAAAAAAGTCCATTTTTTCTTGTCCCATAAGGTGAAAATACACATTGTTGACTGTCATACCTGTATGCTTTGTCATATTGACACAAAATTTGACACACACATGTATCTCAATAAGATCTACGAAAAAGTCAATGCGCGCGTATCTGTAAAATGTACGGTTAAAGGGCTATTTTGCATTTTTTGCCGATTAGCACACATTGGAATGTGGCTAACTCCTCCTAAGGCTTTCGTCCCACTGACACCAAATTTGCTCAGGCCAATCTACACCCCATGGCCATTCAAAGTTTTAAAAATCATGACGCTGCACCCCACGGTTTACGTTCTAGGGGGCGCCAAAGATGACCCAAATATCCACATTCTTAAAAGAATCCACACCCCCCCCCCCCCCTCATCCCCCATCCCCCATCCCCCATCCCCCATGGCAGGAGAAACAGTCAAGTTTTTCCTGCCCATCACTCAATGGCTCAATCGCATCGCTCTCCCGGCAACACCGTAACGAGGAGCAACTTGCCGTTTGGATATATCCTAGATGTGTTTGTGCCCTCACTCATGGTCCAGACTTTTTTCAAATAGGACATGTAGTTTGTCTGCAGCGAGTGTTTTGGTAGAAACTGCGCCTCCCATTCATTATAATGGGAAATGACCACAGACAAGTGCGCACACCATCTTTGGACCTTGAGTGTGACATGATCGGGAGGGGGAGGCGGTCGCACTGGGGGCGGCGCAACGCGGCTCGGGCCCGCCAGTGCCCCAACGGGGCCCTAGTTTCTTTTTCCTCCCCTTTGAACTGGAAAATGGCCCACTTCCCACTGGCGAAAACTCATGAAATTTGGCAGGACGACCGGGCCTGGTGAAAAATTTGATATTCCGAAGTCGCCCAAACAAGAAAATGCAAAATGGCTCCATAGCGCCCCCTAAGGTGAAAATTCACACTATTGACTGTCACGCCTGTACGCTTTGTCAAAATGACACAAAAATTGACACACACATGTATTTCAATAAGATCTACAAAAAAGTCAGTGCGGGCGTATCTGTCAAATGTACGGTTAAAGGGTTATTTCGCATTTTTTGCCGATCCGCACACATTGGAATTTCGCTAACTCCTCCGAAGGCTTTCGTTCCACCGGCACCACATTTGCTCAGGCCAATCTACACCCCATGGCCATTAAAAGTTATTCAAATCATGACGCTGCACCCCACGGTTTAGGTTCTAGGGGGCGCCAAAGATAACCCTAAAATCCACATATTTCAAAGTCTTATAACTTTTTATTTTTGCCCTCACTGGCCTCCAAGTTTTCTAGGATGATGCAATGTCCAGCCATCAACACATTTGTGAAGGAATTTTTACTCCCTAAAAGAGCGCCCCCCATGGCAGGAGAAAAAAGTCCATTTTTTCTTGTCCCCTAAGGTGAAAATACACATTGTTGACTGTCACGCCTGTACGCTTTGGCAAAATGACACAAAAATTGACAATCATGTGTATCTCAATTAGATCTACGAAAAAGTCAAAGAGCGCGTATCTGTATAATGTACGGTAAAAGGGCTATTTTGCATTTTTTGCCGATTCGCACACATTGGAATTTCGCTAACTCCTCCTAAGGCTTTCGTCCCACTGACACCAAATTTGCTCAGGCCAATCTACACTCCATGGCCATTCAAAGTTGTAAAAATCATGACGCTGCACCCCACGGTTTACGTTTTAGGGGGCGCCAAAGATGACCCAAATATACATTACAGTAGACAAAGTAGTTTTGCCCACTGAGTGGCGCCAAAGGGACTTGTCTGTGGAGTTTGTGAGTCACTATTGGCCGTTTTTGACTACTTTAGATTTTACCTTTATATTTCCTCTTACAAAATTTTTACCTTGCCTTGCCTGGTATCATTTTTTTCAGCACAACCTCACCTGTGTCAATTTACAGTTATTTTATCATTTTGACATACTATATTTACACATTGGACCCAAATTCACACACAAAACATAAAATCCGAGTGGAAAAAAGTAACGTTTTTACTGTGAAAACCACAAATATGTGTGATGAACTGTTTTTAAAACTTAAACTTCAAATAAAAATTGTAAACTTCAAAACATATGCAAATTTTTAACAAAGAACATAGTAATTTACCTCTATTTACATCAAAATGCAGGCAATGGCCCAGGTGTTCTTTGTAAAATTATTTACAAAACACTGTATAGTCTCACAAATGTCACTTTTTATTTATGCCACTACAAAAAAACATGATGTAAATGATGCATGATGTAAAACATGATGTAAAAAACTTGTGTAGATCCTCCTCTATGTCAGTCCATGTGTAATTTTTCCATAATTCTTTGTTTTTTGCAGCATTTTTGTTAGTGTAACTGCAGATTGTCCTGACAGTGTCTATGGCACAAAAAAAAAAAAAATTAAAATGCCTCAACATGAACCCCTGGTGGTCTCTGAGGGTGAAACCTGCCAACTGCTGCAGCTCTGTCAGCTTCAGTCTCCCATGCAGAGCTCTGAGCGCATGTGTGGCTCTGCACCCTTAGCAGCGTTGCTAACGCCTCAGTAAGGAAAGCCTGCTTCATGTCAGAGTCTCTAAACTCCAGAAGAAGTCGATAAAAGTCCCTTTCTTTCTAAAAAAAAGTCGTTAGGGGGTCTGAAAAGTCATTGAATCTAACAACAAAGTCGCTAGGTTTGCAACTACGTGTCCCAGACTGCATCCCTGCTGAGAGTCCCTCCCTCCCTTCTCATGTTGCAGGAAGAACGTAAGCGCCCGCCCCTTGTCAATCAGTCACCATATAATTTTGGATTGGTTGTTGTGGTGAAGTTTTCCACCAATAGGAGAGATGTTGTGGTGTGTTTTTTTTTTCTTTTGGCAAGCCTTTTCCGCCTGTAAGACCTGTCGCTAATGTCTGCATGCTATGTTTTCCTGTCTCATACAGCGCGATCGAGCGCCGAACGTGATCAAAATAAGCAGAAAAAAAGTATCGCGGACATAATTTATCATAACTCTGGTTTTATTTGGCCTATCAACACAATTTAAAAACTGGTATATAGGTTGAGGTCGTCACTTTTGAGATAAGTTGAAACGGAGAGTCAACGAGGCTCCATCTTGCAGCTACATCCGGTTAAATATGTCATGTGACTTGAACGCACACACAGACACACACACACGCACACACACACACACACACACACACACACACACACACACACACACACACACACTTAGAGTCTGGTTTTAGCAACACGCACTGGCAGGAAGAACAGCAAACGCCGATGAAGGAAAAGGGTCTTTGCAGTGATGGGCGTTACCAGAGAGGGCGATGGCCAGAGGACACAAATGGGACGGGGAGGCAGCACGTTGGGGGGGGGGACGCGACACGGCTCGGGCCCGCCAGTGCCCCAACGGGGTCCTAGTTAGGGCCCGAGCCAGCTGCTGAGCAGCCGGGCGTAGGCCCTATTATTCCCCAAGTGGTTTTTTAGGGCCCGAGCGTAGCTGCTAAGCAGCTGCGAGAGCCCTCTTGTTCCTGTAGTTTCCTTCTTTTGTTATTAGGGCCCGAGCGTAGCTGCTAAGCAGCTGCGAGAGCCCTATTATTCCCCAAGTGGTTTTTCTTTGTTTCTTTTTAGGGCCCGAGCCAGCTGCAGAGCAGCCGGGCGTAGGCCCTATTATTCCCCAAGTGGTTTTTCTTTGTTTCTTTCTTTCTTTTTAGGGCCCGAGCCAGCTGCAGAGCAGCCGGGCGTAGGCCCTATTATTCCCCAAGTGGTTTTTTAGGGCCCGAGCCAGCTGCAGAGCAGCCGGGCGTAGGCCCTATTATTCCCCAAGTGGTTTTTCTTTGTTTCTTTCTTTCTTTTTAGGGCCCGAGCGTAGCTGCTAAGCAGCTGCGAGAGCCCTATTATTCCCCAAGGGGTTTTTTAGGGCCCGAGCGTAGCTGCTAAGCAGCTGCGAGAGCCCTCTTGTTCCTGCATGTTTCCTTCTTTTGTTATTAGGGCCCGAGCCAGCTGCAGAGCAGCCGGGCGTAGGCCCTATTATTCCCCAAGTGGTTTTTCTTTGTTTCTTTCTTTCTTTAGGGCCCGAGCCAGCTGCAGAGCAGCCGGGCGTAGGCCCTATTATTCCCCAAGTGGTTTTTCTTTGTTTCTTTCTTTCTTTCTTTCTTAGGGCCCGAGCGTAGCTGCTAAGCAGCTGCGAGAGCCCTATTATTCCTGATGGATTCTTCTTTCTTCTTCTTCTTCTTATTATTTTTCTGCCCCTTTGAACTGGAAAATGGCCCACTTCCCACTGGTGAAAAGTCATGAAATTTGGCAGGACGACCGGGCCTGGTGAAAAATTCGATATTCTGAAGTCGCCCAAAAAATCAAATGCAAAATGGCTCCATAGCGCCCCCTAAGGTGAAAAATTCACATGATTGAGTGTCACGCCTGTACGCTTTGTCAAAATGACACAAAATTTGACACACACGTGTATCTCAATAAGATCTACAAAAAAGTCAGTGCGGGCGTATCTGTCAAATGTACGGTTAAAGGGCTATTTCGCATTTTTTGCCGATCCGCACACATTGGAATTTCGCTAACTCCTCCGAAGGCTTTCGTTCCACCGGCACCAAATTTGCTCAGGCCAATCTACACCCCATGGCCATTAAAAGTTGTACAAATCATGACGCTGCATCCCACGGTTTACGTTCTAGGGGGCGCCAAAGATAACCCAGAAATCCACATTCTTAAAAGTCGTATAACTTTTTATTTTTGTCCTCACTGGCCTCCAAGTTTTCTAGGATGATGCAATGTCTAGCCATCAACACATTTGTGAAGGAATTTTTACTCCCCAAAAGAGCGCCCCCCCATGGCAGGAGAAAAAAGTCCAGTTTTTCTTCCCCCTAAGGTGAAAATTCACATTATTGAGTGTCACGCCTGTACGCTTTGTCATATTGTAACAAACTTTGACAATCACGTGTTTCTCAATAAGATCTACGAAATAGTCAATGGGCGCGTATCTGTAAAATGTACGGTTAAAGGGCTATTTCGCATTTTTGGTCGATTCGCACACATTGGAATGTGGCTAACTCCTCCTAAATATTTCGTTCCACTGACACCAAATTTACTCAGGCCAATCTACATTCCATGGCCATTCAAAGTTGTAAAAATCATGACGCTGCACCCCACAGTTTATGTTCTAGGGGGCGCCAAATATAACCCAAAAATCCACATTCTTAAAAGTCTTATAACTTTTTATTTTTGTCCTCACTGGCCTCCAAGTTTTCTAGGATGATGCAATGTCTAGCCATCAACACATTTGTGAAGGAATTTTTACTCCCTAAAAGAGCGCCCCCCCATGGCAGGAGAAAAAGTCAAGTTTTTCCTGCCCATCGCTCAATGACTCAAACACATCGCTCTCTCGGCAAAACCGAAAGGAGGAGCAACTTGCCATTTGGATATATCCTAGCTGTGTTTGTGCCCTCACTCATGGTCCAGTCCTTTTCAAATAGGACATGTAGTTTGTCTGCGGCGAGCGTTTTGGTAGAAACTGCGCCTCCCATTCATTATAATTGTAAATGACCACAGACAAGTGCGCACACCATCTTTGGACCTTGAGTGTGACGCGATCGGTAGGGAGAGGCGGTCGTGTTGGGGGCGGCGCGACACGGCTCGGGCCCGCCAGTGCCCCAACGGGGCCCTAGTTTCTTCTTTTTCCTCCCCTTTGAACTGGAAAATGGCCCACTTCCCACTGGCGAAAACTCATGAAATTTGGCAGGACGACCGGGCCTGGTGAAAAATTCGATATTCTGAAGTCGCCCAAACAATAAAATGCAAAATGGCTCCATAGCGCCCCCTAAGGTGGAAATTCACACTATTGACTGTCACGCCTGTACGCTTTGTCATATTGACACAAAAATTGACACACATATGTATCTCAATAAGATCTACAAAAAAGTCAGTGCGGCCGTATCTGTCAAAATTACGGTTAAAGGGTTATTTCGCATTTTTTGCCGATCCGCACACATTGGAATTTCGCTAACTCCTCCGAAGGCTTTCGTTCCACCGGCACCACATTTGCTCAGGCCAATCTACACCCCGTGGCCATTAAAAGTTATCAAAATCATGACGCTGCACCCCAAGGTTTAGGTTCTAGGGGGCGCCAAAGATAACACTAAAATCCACATATTTAAAAGTCTTATAACTTTTTATTTTTGTCCTCACTGGCCTCCAAGTTTTCTAGGATGATGCAATGTCCAGCCATCAACACATTTGTGAAGGAATTTTTACTCCCCAAAAGAGCGCCCCCCCATGGCAGGAGAAAAAAGTCCATTTTTTCTTGTCCCCTAAGGTGAAAATACACATTGTTGAGTGTCACGCCTATACGCTTTGTCAAAATGACACAAAAATTGACACACACATGTATCTCAATAAGATCTACAAAAAAGTCCATGCGCGCGTATCTGTCAAATGTACAGTTAAAGGGTTATTCCGCATTTTTTGCCGATACGCACACATTGGAATTTCGCTAACTCCTCCGAAGGCTTTCGTTCCACCGGCACCACATTTGCTCAGGCCAATCTACACCCCATGGCCATTAAAAGTTATTCAAATCATGATGCTGCACCCCATGGTTTAGGTTCTAGGGGGCGCCAAAAATAACCCAAAAATCCACATTCTTAAATGTTTTATAACTTTTTATTTTTGTCCTCACTGGCCTCCAAGTTTTCTAGGATGATGCAATGTCCAGCCATCAACACATTTGTGAAGGAATTTTTACTCCCCAAAAGAGCGCCCCCCCATGGTAGGAGAAAAAAGTCAATTTTTTCTTGTCCCCTTACATAAAAATACACATTGTTGAGTGTCACGCCTGAACGCTTTGTCATATTGACACAAAAATTGACAATCATGTGTATCTCAATTAGATCTACGAAAAAGTCAAAGAGCGCGTATCTGTATAATGTACGGTTAAAGGGCTATTTTGCATTTTTTGCCGATTCGCACACATTGGAATGTGGCTATCTCCTCCTAAGGCTTTCGTCCCACCGATACCAAATTTGCTCAGGGCAATCTACACCCCATGCCCATTCAAAGTTGTAAAAATCATGACGCTGCACCCCACGGTTTACGTTCTAGGGGGCGCCAAAGATGACCCAAAAATCCACATTCTTAAAAGTCATTTTGGCCACTGCAGGAGTACAGAGTACTGCAGTTCTAGGGGGCGCCAAAGATGACCCAAAAATCCACATTCTTAAAAGTCTTTTTGGCCACTGCAGGAGTACAGAGTACTGCAGGATACACACACGCCAACACACACGCCAACACACACACACACACACACACACACACACACACACACACACACACACACACACACACACACACTCAGAGTCTGTTTTTTAGCACCTGCAAAAACATGCTGTTTACATATTTGACAAGAATGCAGAGGCTTTTGCCCCTGAAAAAAATCAAATTTCAAACACAACTTGACTGTTCATTTCTCCAAAAGACAACCATGAAGCTCCATCCAAACCTGAAGCAGATAGTTGGTGCATGTGTACAGTAACCTGAGGGGAGTGAGGTGACTATTTCTGAGGAGAACATGAGCAGTGAAGATTCACCTTGGAGCTAGAACAGGGACGTGCACATGATTATACAGGGGCAGGGGCTCAAGTTTTTTCCAGTCATTTATACAATATGGAAATTCATGTGAAATTAAACCACAAATATGTGTGATGAACTGTTTTTAAAACTTAAACTTCAAATAAAAATTGTAAACTTCAAAACATATGCAAATTTTTAACAAAGAACATAGTAATTTACCTCTATTTACATCAAAATGCAGGCAATGGCTCAGGCGTTCTTTGTAAAATTATTTACAAAACACTGTATAGTCTCACAAATGTCACTTTTTATTCATGCCACTACAAAAAAACATGATGTAAATGATGCATGATGTAAAACATGATGTAAAAAACTTGTGTAGATCCTCCTCTATGTCAGTCCATGTGTAATTTTTCCATAATTCTTTTTTTTTTGCAGCATTTTTGTTAGTGTAACTGCAGATTGTGCTGACAGTGTCTATGGCAAAAAAAAAAAAAAAAACTGAAAATGCCTCAACATGAACCCCTGGTGGTCTCTGAGGGTGAAACCTGCTAACTGCTGCAGCTCTGTCAGCTTTAGTCTCCCATGCAGAGCTCGGAGCGCATGTGTGACTCTGCACCCTTAGCAGCGTTGCTAACTCCTCAGTAAGGAAAGCCTGCTTCATGTCAGAGTCTCTAAACTCCAGAAGAAGTCGATAAAAGTCCCTTTCTTTCTAAAAAAAAAGTCGTTAGGGGGTCTGAAAAGTCATTTAATCTAACAACAAAGTCGCTAGGTTTGCAACTACGTGTCCCAGACTGCATCCCTGCTGAGAGTTCCTCCCTCCCTTCTCATGTTGCAGGAAGAACGTAAGCGCCCGCCCCTTGTCAATCAGTCACCATATAATTTTGGATTGGTTGTTGTGGTGAAGTTTTCCACCAATAGGAGAGATGTTGTGGTGTGTTTTTTTTTTCTTTTGGCAAGCCTTTTCCGCCTGTAAGACCTGTCGCTAATGTCTGCATGCTATGTTTTCCTGTCTCATACAGCGCGATCGAGCGCCGAACGTGATCAAAATAAGCAGAAAAAAAGTATTGCGGACATAATTTATCATAACTCTGGTTTTATTTGGCCTATCAACACAATTTAAAAACTGGTATATATGTTGAGGTCCTCACTTTTGAGATAAGTTGAAACGGAGAGTCAACGAGGCTCCGTCTTGCAGCTACATCCGGTTAAATATGTCATGTGACTTGAACGCACACACACACACACACACACAGACACACACACACACGCACACACACACACTCAGAGTCTGGTTTTTAGCACCTGCAAAAACATGCTATTTACATATTTGACAAGAATGCAGAGGCTCCTTTTGCCCCTGAAAAAAATCAAATTTCAAACACAACTTGACTGGTCATTTCTCCAAAAGACAACCATGAAGCTCCATCCAAACCTGAAGCAGGCAGTTGGTGCATGTGTACAGTAACCTGAGGGGAGTGAGGTGACTGCTTCTGAGGAGAACATGAGCAGTGAAGATTCACCTTAGAGCTAGAACAGAGACGTGCACATGATTATACAGGGGCAGGGGCTCAAGTTTTTTCCAGTTGTTTATACAATATGGAAATTAATGTGAAATTAAAAAACAAAGTATTAATAGAAAGGTAATGACTGTCCTGTGTAGGTGACAGTGATATCCAATAGGCTAGGCACTCACGAGGCTGGCTGTGGCAAGTGTAAGTGAAAGCAACACGCACTGGCAGGAAGAACAGCAAACGCCGATGAAGGAAAAGGGTCTTTGCAGTGATGGGCGTTACCAGAGAAGGCGATGGCCAGAGGACACAAATGGGACGGGGAGGCAGCGCGTTGGGGGCGGGGACGCGACACAGCTCGGGCCCGCCAGTGCCCCAACGGGGTCCTAGTTAGGGCCCGAGCGTAGCTGCTAAGCAGCTGCGAGAGCCCTCTTGTTCCTGATGGATTCTTCTTTTGTTATTATTATTATTATTTTTCCTCCGCTTTAAACTGGAAAATGGCCCACTTCCCACTGGCGAAAACTCATGAAATTTGGCAGGACGACCGGGCCTGGTGAAAAATTCAATATTCTGAAGTCGCCCAAACAATAAAATGCAAAATGGCTCCATAGCGCCCCCTAAGGTGGAAATTCACACTATTGACTGTCACGTCTGTACGTTTTGTCATATTGACACAAAAATTGACACACATATGTATCTCAATAAGATCTACAAAAAAGTCAGTGCGGGCGTATCTGTCAAATGTACGGTTAAAGGGTTATTTCGCATTTTTTGCCGATCCGCACACATTGGAATTTCGCTAACTCCTCCGAAGGCTTTCGTTCCACCGGCACCACATTTGCTCAGGCCAGTCTACACCCCATGGCCATTAAAAGTTGTACAAATCATGACGCTGCACCCCACGGTTTAGGTTCTAGGGGGCGCCAAAGATAACCCAAAAATCCACATTTTTAAAAGTCTTATAACTTTTTATTTTTGTCCTCACTGCCCTCCAAGTTTTCTAGGATGATGCAATGTCCAGCCATCAACACATTTGTGAAGGAATTTTTACTCCCCAAAAGAGCGCCCCCCCATGGCAGGAGAAAAAAGTCAATTTTTTCTTGTCCCCTTACATGAAAATACACATTGTTGAGTGTCACGCCTGAACGCTTTGTCATATTGACACAAAAATTGACAATCATGTGTATCTCAATTAGATCTACGAAAAAGTCAAAGAGCGCGTATCTGTATAATGTACGGTTAAAGGGCTATTTCGCATTTTTTGCCGATTCGCACACATTGGAATGTGGCTATCTCCTCCTAAGGCTTTCGTCCCACTGATACCAAATTTGCTCAGGGCAATCTACACCCCATGCCCATTCAAAGTTGTAAAAATCATGACGCTGCACCCCACGGTTTACGTTCTAGGGGGCGCCAAAGATGACCCAAAAATCCACATTCTTAAAAGTCATTTTGGCCACTGCAGGAGTACAGAGTACTGCAGTTCTAGGGGGCGCCAAAGATGACCCAAAAATCCACATTCTTAAAAGTCTTTTTGGCCACTGCAGGAGTACAGAGTACTGCAGGATACACACACATATACACACACGCCAACACACACACACACACACACACACACACACACACACACACACACACACACTCAGAGTCTGTTTTTTAGCACCTGCAAAAACATGCTGTTTACATATTTGACAAGAATGCAGAGGCTTCCTTTTGCCCCTGAAAAAAATCAAATTTCAAACACAACTTGACTGTTCATTTCTCCAAAAGACAACCATGAAGCTCCATCCAAACCTGAAGCAGATAGTTGGTGCATGTGTACAGTAACCTGAGGGGAGTGAGGTGACTATTTCTGAGGAGAACATGAGCAGTGAAGATTCACCTTGGAGCTAGAACAGGGACGTGCACATGATTATACAGGGGCAGGGGCTCAAGTTTTTTCCAGTCATTTATACAATATGGAAATTAATGTGAAATTAAAAAACAAAGTATTAATAGAAAGGTTATGACTGTCCTGTGTAGATGACAGTGATATCCAATAGGCTAGGCACTCACGAGGCTGGCTGTGGCAAGTGTAAGTGAAAGCAACACGCACTGGCAGGAAGAACAGCAAACGCCGATGAAGGAAAGGGTCTTTGCAGTGATGGGCGTTACCAGAGAGGACGATGGCCAGAGGACGCGAATGGGACGGGGAGGCAGCGCGTTGGGGGGGGCAGCGCGACACGGCTCGGGCCCGCCAGTGCCCCAACGGGGCCCTAGTTATTATTTTTCCTCCCCTTTGAACTGGAAAATGGCCCACTTCCCACTGGCGAAAACTCATGAAATTTGGCAGGACGACCGGGCCTGGTGAAAAATTTGATATTCCGAAGTCGCCCAAACAAGAAAATGCAAAATGGCTCCATAGCGCCCCCTAAGGTGAAAATTCACACTATTGACTGTCACGCCTGTACGCTTTGTCAAAATGACACAAAAATTGACACACACATGTATCTCAATAAGATCTACAAAAAAGTCAGTGCGGGCATATCTGTCAAATGTACGGTTAAAGGGTTATTTAGCATTTTTTGCCGATCCGCACACATTGGAATTTCGCTAACTCCTCCGAAGGCTTTCGTTCCACCGGCACCACATTTGCTCAGGCCAATCTACACCCCATGGCCATTAAAAGTTATTCAAATCATGACGCTGCACCCCACGGTTTAGGTTCTAGGGGGCGCCAAAGATAACCCTAAGATCCACATATTTAAAAGTCTTATAACTTTTTATTTTTGCCCTCACTGGCCTCCAAGTTTTCTAGGATGATGCAATGTCCAGCCATCAACACATTTGTGAAGGAATTTTTACTCCCCAAAAGAGCGCCCCCCCATGGCAGGAGAAAAAAGTCCATTTTTTCTTGTCCCCTAAGGCGAAAATACACATTGTTGAGTGTAACACCTGTACGCTTTGGCAAAATGACACAAAAATTGACACACACATGTATCTCAATAAGATCTACGAAAAAGTCAATGCGCGCGTATCTGTCAAATGTACGGTTAAAGGGTTATTCCGCATTTTTTGCCGATCCGCACACATTGGAATTTCGCTAACTCCTCCGAAGGCTTTCATTCCACCGGTACCACATTTGCTCAGGCCAATCTACACCCCATGGCCATTAAAAGTTATTCAAATCATGACGCTGCATCCCACGGTTTAGGTTCTAGGGGGCGCCAAAGATAACCCTAAAATCCACATATTTAAAAGTCTTATAACTTTTTATTTTTGTCCTCACTGGCCTCCAAGTTTTCTAGGATGATGCAATGTCCAGCCATCAACACATTTGTGAAGGAATTTTTACTCCCCAAAAGAGCGCCCCCCCATGGCAGGAAAAAAAAGCCAATTTTTTCTTGTCCCCTAAGGTGGAAATTCACACTATTGACTGTCACGCCTGTACGCTTTATCATATTGACACAAAAATTGACACACATATGTATCTCAATAAGATCTACAAAAGAGTCGATTAGCGCGTATCTGTCAAATGTACGGTTAAAGGGCTATTTTGCATTTTTTGCCGATTCGCACACATTGGAATGTGGCTAACTCCTCCTAAGGCTTTCGTCCCACTGACACCAAATTTGCTCAGGCCAATCTACACCCCATGGCCATTCAAAGTTGTAAAAATCATGACGCTGCACCCCACGGTTTACGTTCTAGGGGGCGCCAAAGATGACCCAAAAATCCACATATTTCAAAGAATCCACATCCCCCCCCCCCCATATGGCAGGAGAAAAAGTTTTTTCCTGCCCATCGCTCAATGGCTCAATCGCATCGCTCTCCAGGCAACACCGTAAGGAGGAGCAACCTGCCATTTCGATATATCATAGCTGTGTTTGTGCCCTCACTCATGGTCCAGACTTTTTTCAAATAGGACATGAAGTTTGTCTGCAGCGAGTGTTTTGGTAGAAACTGCGCCTCCCATTCATTATAATAGGAAATGACCACAGACAAGTGCGCACACCATCTTTGGATCTTGAGTGTGACGCGATCGGGAGGGGGAGGCGGTCGCACTGGGGGCGGCGCGACACGGCTCGGGCCCGACAGTGCCCCAACGGGGTCCTAGTCTTTGTTTCTTTCTTTCTTTTTAGGGCCCGAGCGTAGCTGCTAAGCAGCTGCGAGAGCCCTCTTGTTCCTGCATGTTTCCTTCTTTTGTTATTATTATTATTATTATTTTTCCTCCCCTTTGAACTGGAAAATGGCCCACTTCCCACTGGCGAAAACTCATGAAATTTGGCAGGACGACCGGGCCTGGTGAAAAATTTGATATTCTGAAGTCGCCCAAACAATAAAATGCAAAATGGCTCCATAGCGCCCCCTAAGGTGGAAATTCACACTATTGACTGTCACGCCTGTACGCTTTGTCAAAATGACACAAAATTTGACACACATATGTATCTCAATAAGATCTACAAAAAAGTCAGTGCGGGCGTATCTGTCAAATGTACGGTTTAAGGGCTATTTCGCATTTTTTGGCGATCCGTACACATTGGAATTTCGCTAACTCCTCCGAAGGCTTTTGTTCCACCGGCACCACATTTGCTCAGGCCAATCTACACCCCATGGCCATTAAAAGTTATTCAAATCATGACGCTGCACCCCACGGTTTAGGTTCTAGGGGGCGCCAAAGATAACCCTAAAATCCACATATTTAAAAGTCTTATAACTTTTTATTTTTGTCCTCACTGGCCTCCAAGTTTTCTAGGATGATGCAATGTCCAGCCATCAACACATTTGTGAAGGAATTTTTACTCCCCAAAAGAGCGCCCCCCCATGGCAGGAGAAAAAAGTCCATTTTTTCTTGTCCCCTAAGGTGAAAATACACATTGTTGAGTGTCACGCCTCTACACTTTGTCAAAATGACACAAAATTTGGCACACAGGTGTGTCTCAATAAGATCTACAAAAAAGTCAATGCGGGCGTATCTGTCAAATGTACGGTTAAAGGGCTATTTCGCATTTTTTGGCGATCCGTACGCATTGGAATTTCGCTAACTCCTCCGAAGGCTTTTATTCCACCGGCACCACATTTGCTCAGGCCAATCTACACCCCATGGCCATTAAAAGTTATTCAAATCATGACGCTGCACCCCACGGTTTAGGTTCTAGGGGGCGCCAAAGATAACCCGAAAATCCACATATTTAAAAGTCTTATAACTTTTTATTTTTGTCCTCACTGGCCTCCAAGTTTTCTAGGATGATGCAATGTCCAGCCATCAACACATTTGTGAAGGAATTTTTACTCCCCAAAAGAGCGCCCCCCCATGGCAGGAGAAAAAAGTCCATTTTTTCTTGTCCCCTAAGGTGAAAATACACATTGTTCAGTGTCACGCCTCTACACTTTGTCAAAATGACACAAAATTTGGCACACAGGTGTATCTCAATAATATCTACGAAAAAGTCAATGCGGGCGTATCTGTCAAATGTACGGTTAAAGGGCTATTTCGCATTTTTTGGCGATCCGTACACATTGGAATTTCGCTAACTCCTCCGAAGGCTTTTGTTCCACCGGCACCACATTTGCTCAGGCCAATCTACACCCCATGGCCATTAAAAGTTATTCAAATCATGATGCTGCACCCCACGGTTTAGGTTCTAGGGGGCGCCAAAGATAACCCTAAAATCCACATATTTAAAAGTCTTATAACTTTTTATTTTTGTCCTCACTGGCCTCCAAGTTTTCTAGGATGATGCAATGTCCAGCCATCAACACATTTGTGAAGGAATTTTTACTCCCTAAAAGAGTGCCCCCCCATGGCAGGAGAAAAAGTCAAGTTTTTCCTGCCCATCGCTCAACGGCTCAAACACATCGCTCTCTCGGCAAAACCGAAAGGAGGAGAAACTTGCCATTTGGATATATCCTAGCTGTGTTTGTGCCCTCACTCATGGTCCAGACTTTTTTCAAATAGGACATGTAGTTTGTCTGCAGCGAGCGTTTTGGTAGAAACTGCGCCTCCCATTCATTATAATGGTAAATGACCACAGACAAGTGTGCACACCATCTTTGGACCTTGAGTGTGACGCGATCGGGAGGGAGAGGCGGTCGTGTTGGGGGCGGCGCGACACAGCTCGGGCCCGCCAGTGCCCCAACGGGGTCCTAGTGTTATTATTATTATTTTTCCTCCCCTTTGAACTGGAAAATGGCCCACTTCCCACTGGCGAAAACTCATGAAATTTGGCAGGACGACCGGGCCTGGTGAAAAATTTGATATTCCGAAGTCGCCCAAACAAGAAAATGCAAAATGGCTCCATAGCGCCCCCTAAGGTGAAAATTCACACTATTGACTGTCACGCCTGTACGCTTTGTCAAAATGACACAAAAATTGACACACACATGTATCTCAATAAGATCTACAAAAAAGTCAGTGCGGGCATATCTGTCAAATGTACGGTTAAAGGGTTATTTCGCATTTTTTGCCGATCCGCACACATTGGAATTTCGCTAACTCCTCCGAAGGCTTTCGTTCCACCGGCACCACATTTGCTCAGGCCAATCTACACCCCATGGCCATTAAAAGTTATTCAAATCATGACGCTGCACCCCACGGTTTAGGTTCTAGGGGGCGCCAAAGATAACCCTAAGATCCACATATTTAAAAGTCTTATAACTTTTTATTTTTGCCCTCACTGGCCTCCAAGTTTTCTAGGATGATGCAATGTCCAGCCATCAACACATTTGTGAAGGAATTTTTACTCCCCAAAAGAGCGCCCCCCATGGCAGGAGAAAAAAGTCCATTTTTTCTTGTCCCCTAAGGCGAAAATACACATTGTTGAGTGTAACACCTGTACGCTTTGGCAAAATGACACAAAAATTGACACACACATGTATCTCAATAAGATCTACGAAAAAGTCAATGCGCGCGTATCTGTCAAATGTACGGTTAAAGGGTTATTCCGCATTTTTTGCCGATCCGCACACATTGGAATTTCGCTAACTCCTCCGAAGGCTTTCATTCCACCGGTACCACATTTGCTCAGGCCAATCTACACCCCATGGCCATTAAAAGTTATTCAAATCATGACGCTGCATCCCACGGTTTAGGTTCTAGGGGGCGCCAAAGATAACCCTAAAATCCACATATTTAAAAGTCTTATAACTTTTTATTTTTGTCCTCACTGGCCTCCAAGTTTTCTAGGATGATGCAATGTCCAGCCATCAACACATTTGTGAAGGAATTTTTACTCCCCAAAAGAGCGCCCCCCCATGGCAGGAAAAAAAAGCCAATTTTTTCTTGTCCCCTAAGGTGGAAATTCACACTATTGACTGTCACGCCTGTACGCTTTATCATATTGACACAAAAATTGACACACATATGTATCTCAATAAGATCTACAAAAGAGTCGATTAGCGCGTATCTGTCAAATGTACGGTTAAAGGGCTATTTTGCATTTTTTGCCGATTCGCACACATTGGAATGTGGCTAACTCCTCCTAAGGCTTTCGTCCCACTGACACCAAATTTGCTCAGGCCAATCTACACCCCATGGCCATTCAAAGTTGTAAAAATCATGACGCTGCACCCCACGGTTTACGTTCTAGGGGGCGCCAAAGATGACCCAAAAATCCACATATTTCAAAGAATCCACATCCCCCCCCCCCATATGGCAGGAGAAAAAGTTTTTTCCTGCCCATCGCTCAATGGCTCAATCGCATCGCTCTCCAGGCAACACCGTAAGGAGGAGCAACCTGCCATTTCGATATATCATAGCTGTGTTTGTGCCCTCACTCATGGTCCAGACTTTTTTCAAATAGGACATGAAGTTTGTCTGCAGCGAGTGTTTTGGTAGAAACTGCGCCTCCCATTCATTATAATAGGAAATGACCACAGACAAGTGCGCACACCATCTTTGGATCTTGAGTGTGACGCGATCGGGAGGGGGAGGCGGTCGCACTGGGGGCGGCGCGACACGGCTCGGGCCCGACAGTGCCCCAACGGGGTCCTAGTCTTTGTTTCTTTCTTTCTTTTTAGGGCCCGAGCGTAGCTGCTAAGCAGCTGCGAGAGCCCTCTTGTTCCTGCATGTTTCCTTCTTTTGTTATTAGGGCCCGAGCGTAGCTGCTAAGCAGCTGCGAGAGCCCTATTATTCCCCAAGTGGTTTTTCTTTGTTTCTTTTTTCTTTTTCCTCCCCTTTGAACTGGAAAATGGCCCACTTCCCACTGGCGAAAACTCATGAAATTTGGCAGGACGACCGGGCCTGGTGAAAAATTTGATATTCTGAAGTCGCCCAAACAAGAAAATGCAAAATGGCTCCATAGCGCCCCCTAAGGTGAAAAATTCACCTGACGCCTGTACGCTTTGTCAAAATGACAAAAAAATTGACACACACATGTATCTCAATAAGATCTACAAAAAAGTCAGTGCGGGCGTATCTGTCAAATGTACGGTTAAAGGGTTATTGCGCATTTTTTGCCGATCCGCACACATTGGAATTTCGCTAACTCCTCCGAAGGCTTTAGTTCCACCGGCACCACATTTGCTCAGGCCAATCTACACCCCATGGCCATTAAAAGTTATTCAAATCATGACGCTGCACCCCACGGTTTAGGTTCTAGGGGGCGCCAAAGATAACCCTAAAATCCACATATTTAAAAGTCTTATAACTTTTTATTTTTGCCCTCACTGGCCTCCAAGTTTTCTAGGATGATGCAATGTCCAGCCATCAACACATTTGTGAAGGAATTTTTACTCCCCAAAAGAGCGCCCCCCCATGGCAGGAGAAAAAAGTCCATTTTTTCTTGTCCCATAAGGTGAAAATTCACACTATTGACTGTCACGCCTGTACGCTTTGTCAAAATTACACAAAAATTGACACACACATGTATCTCAATAAGATCTACAAAAAAGTCAGTGCGGGCGTATCTGTCAAATGTACGGTTAAAGGGTTATTGCGCATTTTTTGCCGATCCGCACACATTGGAATTTCGCTAACTCCTCCGAAGGCTTTCGTTCCACTGGCACCACATTTGCTCAGGCCAATCTACACCCCATGGCCATTAAAAGTTATTCAAATCATGACGCTGCACCCCACGGTTTAGGTTCTAGGGGGCGCCAAAGATAACCCTAAAATCCACATATTTAAAAGTCTTATAACTTTTTATTTTTGTCCTCTCTGGCCTCCAAGTTTTCTAGGATGATGCAATGTCCAGCCATCAACACATTTGTGGAGGAATTTTTACTCCCCAAAAGAGCGCCCCCCCATGGCAGGAGAAAAAAGTCCATTTTTTCTTGTCCCATAAGGTGAAAATACACATTGTTGACTGTCATACCTGTATGCTTTGTCATATTGACACAAAATTTGACACACACATGTATCTCAATAAGATCTACGAAACAGTCAATGCGCGCGTATCTGTAAAATGTACGGTTAAAGGGCTATTTTGCATTTTTTGCCCATTAGCACACATTGGAATGTGGCTAACTCCTCCTAAGGCTTTCGTCCCACTGACACCAAATTTGCTCAGGCCAATCTACACCCCATGGCCATTCAAAGTTTTAAAAATCATGACGCTGCACCCCACGGTTTACGTTCTAGGGGGCGCCAAAGATGACCCAAATATCCACATTCTTAAAAGAATCCCCCCCCCCCCCCCCCAATCCCCCATCCCCCATCCCCCATGGCAGGAGAAACAGTCAAGTTTTTCCTGCCCATCACTCAATGGCTCAATCGCATCGCTCTCCCGGCAACACCGTAAGGAGGAGCAACTTGCCGTTTGGATATATCCTAGCTGTGTTTGTGCCCTCACTCATGGTCCAGACTTTTTTCAAATAGGACATGTAGTTTGTCTGCAGCGAGTGTTTTGGTAGAAACTGCGCCTCCCATTCATTATAATGGGAAATGACCACAGACAAGTACGCACACCATCTTTGGACCTTGCGTGTGACGCGATCGGGAGGGGGAGGCGGTCGCACTGGGGGCGGCGCAACGCGGCTCGGGCCCGCCAGTGCCCCAACGGGGCCCTAGTTATTATTATTATTATTTTTCCTCCCCTTTGAACTGGAAAATGGCCCACTTCCCACTGGCGAAAACTCATGAAATTTGGCAGGACGACCGGGCCTGGTGAAAAATTTGATATTCTGAAGTCGCCCAAACAATAAAATGCAAAATGGCTCCATAGCGCCCCCTAAGGTGGAAATTCACACTATTGACTGTCACGCCTGTACGCTTTGTCAAAATGACACAAAATTTGACACACATATGTATCTCAATAAGATCTACAAAAAAGTCAGTGCGGGCGTATCTGTCAAATGTACGGTTTAAGGGCTATTTCGCATTTTTTGGCGATCCGTACACATTGGAATTTCGCTAACTCCTCCGAAGGCTTTTGTTCCACCGGCACCACATTTGCTCAGGCCAATCTACACCCCATGGCCATTAAAAGTTATTCAAATCATGACGCTGCACCCCACGGTTTAGGTTCTAGGGGGCGCCAAAGATAACCCTAAAATCCACATATTTAAAAGTCTTATAACTTTTTATTTTTGTCCTCACTGGCCTCCAAGTTTTCTAGGATGATGCAATGTCCAGCCATCAACACATTTGTGAAGGAATTTTTACTCCCCAAAAGAGCGCCCCCCCATGGCAGGAGAAAAAAGTCCATTTTTTCTTGTCCCCTAAGGTGAAAATACACATTGTTGAGTGTCACGCCTCTACACTTTGTCAAAATGACACAAAATTTGGCACACAGGTGTGTCTCAATAAGATCTACAAAAAAGTCAATGCGGGCGTATCTGTCAAATGTACGGTTAAAGGGCTATTTCGCATTTTTTGGCGATCCGTACGCATTGGAATTTCGCTAACTCCTCCGAAGGCTTTTATTCCACCGGCACCACATTTGCTCAGGCCAATCTACACCCCATGGCCATTAAAAGTTATTCAAATCATGACGCTGCACCCCACGGTTTAGGTTCTAGGGGGCGCCAAAGATAACCCGAAAATCCACATATTTAAAAGTCTTATAACTTTTTATTTTTGTCCTCACTGGCCTCCAAGTTTTCTAGGATGATGCAATGTCCAGCCATCAACACATTTGTGAAGGAATTTTTACTCCCCAAAAGAGCGCCCCCCATGGCAGGAGAAAAAAGTCCATTTTTTCTTGTCCCCTAAGGTGAAAATACACATTGTTCAGTGTCACGCCTCTACACTTTGTCAAAATGACACAAAATTTGGCACACAGGTGTATCTCAATAATATCTACGAAAAAGTCAATGCGGGCGTATCTGTCAAATGTACGGTTAAAGGGCTATTTCGCATTTTTTGGCGATCCGTACACATTGGAATTTCGCTAACTCCTCCGAAGGCTTTTGTTCCACCGGCACCACATTTGCTCAGGCCAATCTACACCCCATGGCCATTAAAAGTTATTCAAATCATGATGCTGCACCCCACGGTTTAGGTTCTAGGGGGCGCCAAAGATAACCCTAAAATCCACATATTTAAAAGTCTTATAACTTTTTATTTTTGTCCTCACTGGCCTCCAAGTTTTCTAGGATGATGCAATGTCCAGCCATCAACACATTTGTGAAGGAATTTTTACTCCCTAAAAGAGTGCCCCCCCATGGCAGGAGAAAAAGTCAAGTTTTTCCTGCCCATCGCTCAACGGCTCAAACACATCGCTCTCTCGGCAAAACCGAAAGGAGGAGAAACTTGCCATTTGGATATATCCTAGCTGTGTTTGTGCCCTCACTCATGGTCCAGACTTTTTTCAAATAGGACATGTAGTTTGTCTGCAGCGAGCGTTTTGGTAGAAACTGCGCCTCCCATTCATTATAATGGTAAATGACCACAGACAAGTGTGCACACCATCTTTGGACCTTGAGTGTGACGCGATCGGGAGGGAGAGGCGGTCGTGTTGGGGGCGGCGCGACACAGCTCGGGCCCGCCAGTGCCCCAACGGGGTCCTAGTGTTATTATTAGGGCCCGAGCGTAGCTGCTAAGCAGCTGCGAGAGCCCTATTATTCCTGATGGATTCTTCTTTCTTCTTCTTCTTCTTATTATTTTTCTGCCCCTTTGAACTGGAAAATGGCCCACTTCCCACTGGTGAAAAGTCATGAAATTTGGCAGGACGACCGGGCCTGGTGAAAAATTCGATATTCTGAAGTCGCCCAAAAAATCAAATGCAAAATGGCTCCATAGCGCCCCCTAAGGTGAAAAATTCACATGATTGAGTGTCACGCCTGTACGCTTTGTCAAAATGACACAAAATTTGACACACACGTGTATCTCAATAAGATCTACAAAAAAGTCAGTGCGGGCGTATCTGTCAAATGTACGGTTAAAGGGCTATTTCGCATTTTTTGCCGATCCGCACACATTGGAATTTCGCTAACTCCTCCGAAGGCTTTCGTTCCACCGGCACCAAATTTGCTCAGGCCAATCTACACCCCATGGCCATTAAAAGTTGTACAAATCATGACGCTGCATCCCACGGTTTACGTTCTAGGGGGCGCCAAAGATAACCCAGAAATCCACATTCTTAAAAGTCGTATAACTTTTTATTTTTGTCCTCACTGGCCTCCAAGTTTTCTAGGATGATGCAATGTCCAGCCATCAACACATTTGTGAAGGAATTTTTACTCCCCAAAAGAGCGCCCCCCCATGGCAGGAGAAAAAAGTCCATTTTTTCTTGTCTCCTAAGGCGAAAATTCACACTATTGACTGTCACGCCTTTACGCTTTGTCATATTGACACAAAAATTGACACACACATGTATCTCAATAAGATCTACAAAAAAGTCAGTGCGGGCGTATCTGTCAAATGTACGGTTAAAGGGTTATTTCGCATTTTTTGCCGATCCGCACACATTGGAATTTCGCTAACTCCTCCTAAATCTTTTGTCCCATCGGCTTCAAATTTGCTCAGGTCAATCTACACCCCATGGCCATTCAAAGTTGTACAAATCATGACGCTGCACCCCACAGTTTACGTTCTAGGGGGCGCCAAAGAGGACCCAAATATCCACATTTTTAAAAGTCTTATAACTTTTTATTTTTGTCCTCACTGGCCTCCAAGTTTTCTAGGATGATGCAATGTCCAGCCATCAACACATTTGTGAAGGAATTTTTTCTCCCCAAAAGAGCGCCCCCCATGGCAGGAGAAAAAGTCAAGTTTTTCCTGCCCATCGCTCAATGGCTCAAACGCATCGCTCTCTCTGCAAAACCGAAAGGAGGAGCAACTTGCCATTTGGATATATACTAGCTGTGTTTGTGCCCTCACTCATGGTCCAGACTTTTTTCAAATAGGACATGTAGTTTGTCTGCAGCGAGCGTTTTGGTAGAAACTGCGCCTCCCATTCATTATAATGGGAAATGACCACAGACAAGTGCGCACACCATCTTTGGACCTTGAGTGTGACGCGATCGGGAGGGGGAGGCGGTCGCGCTGGGGGCGGCGCGACGCGGCTCGGGCCCGACAGTGCCCCACCGGGGCCCTAGTTATTATTTTTCCTCCCCTTTGAGCTGGAAAATGGCCCACTTCCCACTGGCGAAAACTCATGAAATTTGGCAGGACGACCGGGCCTGGTGAAAAATTTGATATTCCGAAGTCGCCCAAACAAGAAAATGCAAAATGGCTCCATAGCGCCCCCTAAGGTGAAAATTCACACTATTGACTGTCACGCCTGTACGCTTTGTCAAAATGACACAAAAATTGACACACACATGTATCTCAATAAGATCTACAAAAAAGTCAGTGCGGGCGTATCTGTCAAATGTACGGTTAAAGGGTTATTTCGCATTTTTTGCCGATCCGCACACATTGCAATTTCGCTAACTCCTCCGAAGGCTTTCGTTCCACCGGCACCACATTTGCTCAGGCCAATCTACACCCCATGGCCATTAAAAGTTATTCAAATCATGATGCTGCACCCCACGGTTTAGGTTCTAGGGGGCGCCAAAGATAACCCTAAGATCCACATATTTAAAAGTCTTATAACTTTTTATTTTTGCCCTCACTGGCCTCCAAGTTTTCTAGGATGATGCAATGTCCAGCCATCAACACATTTGTGAAGGAATTTTTACTCCCCAAAAGAGCGCCCCCCCATGGCAGGAGAAAAAAGTCCATTTTTTCTTGTCCCCTAAGGTGAAAATACACATTGTTGAGTGTAACACCTGTACGCTTTGGCAAAATGACACAAAAATTGACACACACATGTATCTCAATAAGATCTACGAAAAAGTCAATGCGCGCGTATCTGTCAAATGTACGGTTAAAGGGTTATTCCGCATTTTTTGCCGATCCGCACACATTGGAATTTCGCTAACTCCTCCGAAGGCTTTCGTTCCACCGGCACCACATTTGCTCAGGCCAATCTACACCCCATGGCCATTAAAAGTTATTCAAATCATGACGCTGCACCCCACGGTTTAGGTTCTAGGGGGCGCCAAAGATAACCGTAAAATCCACATATTTAAAAGTCTTATAACTTTTTATTTTTGTCCCCACTGGCCTCCAAGTTTTCTAGGATGATGCAATGTCCAGCCATCAACACATTTGTGAAGGAATTTTTACTCGCCAAAAGAGCGCCCCCCCATGGCAGGAGAAAAAAGTCCATTTTTTCTTGTCCACTAAGGTGAAAATACACATTGTTGAGTGCTACGCCTGTATGTTTTGTCGTATTGACACAAAATTTTACATACACGTGTATTTCAATAAGATCTTCGAAAAAGTCAATGGCCACGTATCTGTAAAATGTACGGTTAAAGGGTTATTTCGCATTTTTTGCAGATTCGCACACATTGGAATTTCGCTAAATCCTCCGAAGGCTTTCGTTCCACCGGCACCACATTTGCTCAGGCCAATCTACACCCCATGGCCATTAAAAGTTATTCAAATCATGACGCTGCACCCCACGGTTTAGGTTCTAGGGGGCGCCAAAGATAACCCTAAAATCCACATATTTAAAAGTCTTATAACTTTTTATTTTTGTCCTCACTGGCCTCCATGTTTTCTAGGATGATGCAATGTCCAGCCATCAACACATTTGTGAAGGAGTTTTTTCTCGTTAAAAGAGCGCCCCCCCATGGCAGGAGAATAAAGTCAAGTTTTTCCTGTTCATCATTCAATGGCTCAAACGCACTGCTCTCTCGGCAAAAGCGAAAGGAGGAGCAACTTGCCATTTGGATATATCTTAGCTGTGTTTGTGCCCTCACTCATGGTCCAGACTTTTTTCAAATAGGTCATGGAGTTTTGCTGCAGCGAGCGTTTTGGTAGAAACTGCGCTTCCCGTTCATTATAATGGTAAATGACCACAAACAAGTGCGCACACCATCTTTGGACCTTGAGTGTGACGCGATCGGGTGGGGGAGGCGGTCGCGCTGAGGGCGGCGTGACATGGCTCGGGCCCGCCAGAGCCCCAACGGGGCCCTAGTTATTATTTTTCCTCCCCTTTGAACTGGAAAATGGCCCACTTCCCACTGGCGAAAACTCATGAAATTTGGCAGGACGACCGGGCCTGGTGAAAAATTTGATATTCCGAAGTCGCCCAAACAAGAAAATGCAAAATGGCTCCATAGCGCCCCCTAAGGTGAAAATTCACACTATTCACTGTCACGCCTGTACGCTTTGTCAAAATGACACAAAAATTGACACACACATGTATCTCAATAAGATCTACAAAAAAGTCAGTGCGGGCGTATCTGTCAAATGTACGGTTAAAGGGTTATTTCGCATTTTTTGCCGATCCGCACACATTGGAATTTCGCTAACTCCTCCGAAGGCTTTCGTTCCACCGGCACCACATTTGCTCAGGCCAATCTACACCCCATGGCCATTAAAAGTTATTCAAATCATGACGCTGCACCCCACGGTTTAGGTTCTAGGGGGCGCCAAAGATAACCCTAAGATCCACATATTTAAAAGTCTTATAACTTTTTATTTTTGCCCTCACTGGCCTCCAAGTTTTCTAGGATGATGCAATGTCCAGCCATCAACACATTTGTGAAGGAATTTTTACTCCCCAAAAGAGCGCCCCCCATGGCAGGAGAAAAAAGTCCATTTTTTCTTGTCCCCTAAGGTGAAAATACACATTGTTGAGTGTAACACCTGTACGCTTTGGCAAAATGACACAAAAATTGACACACACATGTATCTCAATAAGATCTACGAAAAAGTCAATGCGCGCGTATCTGTCAAATGTACGGTTAAAGGGTTATTCCGCATTTTTTGCCGATCCGCACACATTGGAATTTCGCTAACTCCTCCGAAGGCTTTCGTTCCACCGGCACCACATTTGCTCAGGCCAATCTACACCCCATGGCCATTAAAAGTTATTCAAATCATGACGCTGCACCCCACGGTTTAGGTTCTAGGGGGAGCCAAAGATAACCGTAAAATCCACATATTTAAAAGTCTTATAACTTTTTATTTTTGTCCCCACTGGCCTCCAAGTTTTCTAGGATGATGCAATGTCCAGCCATCAACACATTTGTGAAGGAATTTTTACTCGCCAAAAGAGCGCCCCCCATGGCAGGAGAAAAAAGTCAATTTTTTCTTGTCCACTAAGGTGAAAATACACATTGTTGAGTGCTACGCCTGTATGTTTTGTCGTATTGACACAAAATTTTACATACACGTGTATTTCCATAAGATCTTCGAAAAAGTCAATGGCCACGTATCTGTAAAATGTACGGTTAAAGGGTTATTTCGCATTTTTTGCAGATTCGCACACATTGGAATTTCGCTAATTCCTCCGAAGGCTTTCGTTCCACCGGCACCACATTTGCTCAGGCCAATCTACACCCCATGGCCATTAAAAGTTATTCAAATCATGACGCTGCACCCCACGGTTTAGGTTCTAGGGGGCGCCAAATATAACCCTAAAATCCACATATTTAAAAGTCTTATAACTTTTTATTTTTGTCCTCACTGGCCTCCATGTTTTCTAGGATGATGCAATGTCCAGCCATCAACACATTTGTGAAGGAGTTTTTCTCTTTAAAAGAGCGCCCCCCCATGGCAGGAGAATAAAGTCAAGTTTTTCCTGTTCATCATTCAATGGCTCAAACGCACTGCTCTCTCGGCAAAAGCGAAAGGAGGAGCAACTTGCCATTTGGATATATCTTAGCTGTGTTTGTGCCCTCACTCATGGTCCAGACTTTTTTCAAATAGGACATGGAGTTTTTCTGCAGCGAGCGTTTTGGTAGAAACTGCGCCTCCCGTTCATTATAATGGTAAATGACCACAAACAAGTGCGCACACCATCTTTGGACCTTGAGTGTGACGCGATCGGGTGGGGGAGGCGGTCGCGCTGGGGGCGGCGTGACACGGCTCGGGCCCGCCAGTGCCCCAACGGGGCCCTAGTTTCTTTTTCCTCCCCTTTGAACTGGAAAATGGCCCACTTCCCACTGGCGAAAACTCTTGAAATTTGGCAGGACGACCGGGCCTGGTGAAAAATTTGATATTCTGAAGTCGCCAAAACAATAAAATGCAAAATGGCTCCATAGCGCCCCCTAAGGTGAAAATTCACACTATTCACTGTCACGACTGTACGCTTTGTCAAAATGACACAAAAATTGACACACACATGTATCTCAATAAGATCTACAAAAAAGTCAGTGCGGGCGTATCTGTCAAATGTACGGTTAAAGGGTTATTACGCATTTTTTGCCGATCCGCACACATTGGAATTTCGCTAACTCCTCCGAAGGCTTTCGTTCCACCGGCACCACATTTGCTCAGGCCAATCTACACCCCGTGGCCATTAAAAGTTATCAAAATCATGACGCTGCACCCCAAGGTTTAGGTTCTAGGGGGCGCCAAAGATAACCCTAAAATCCACATTCTTAAATGTTTCATAACTTTTTATTTTTGTCCTCACTGGCCTCCAAGTTTTCTAGGATGATGCAATGTCCAGCCATCAACACATTTGTGAAGGAATTTTTACTCCCCAAAAGAGCGCCCCCCCATGGCAGGAGAAAAAAGTCAATTTTTTCTTGTCCCCTAAGGTGAAAATACACATTGTTGAGTGTCACGCCTATACGCTTTGTCAAAATGACACAAAAATTGACACACACATGTAACTCAATAAGATCTACAAAAAAGTCCAGCGCGCGTATCTGTCAAATGTACAGTTAAAGGGTTATTCCGCATTATTTGCTGACACGCACACATTGGAATTTCGCTAACTCCTCCGAAGGCTTTCGTTCCACCGGCACCACATTTGCTCAAGCCAATCTACACCCCATGGCCATTAAAAGTTATTCAAATCATGATGCTGCACCCCATGGTTGAGGTTCTAGGGGGCGCCAAAAATAACCCAAAAATCCACATTCTTAAATGTTTCATAACTTTTTATTTTTGTCCTCACTGGCCTCCAAGTTTTCTAGGATGATGCAATGTCCAGCCATCAACACATTTGTGAAGGAATTTTTACTCCCCAAGAGAGCGCCCCCCCATGGTAGGAGAAAAAAGTCAATTTTTTCTTGTCCCCTTACATGAAAATACACATTGTTGACTGTCACGCCTGTACGCTTTGTCATATTGACACAAAAATTGACAATCATGTGTATCTCAATTAGATCTACGAAAAAGTCAAAGAGCGCGTATCTGTATAATGTACGGTAAAAGGGCTATTTTGCATTTTTTGCCGATTCGCACACATTGGAATGTGGCTATCTCCTCCTAAGGCTTTCGTCCCACCGATACCAAATTTGCTCAGGGCAATCTACACCCCATGCCCATTCAAAGTTGTAAAAATCATGACGCTGCACCCCACGGTTTACGTTCTAGGGGGCGCCAAAGATGACCCAAAAATCCACATTCTTAAAAGTCATTTTGGCCACTGCAGGAGTACAGAGTACTGCAGTTCTAGGGGGCGCCAAAGATGACCCAAAAATCCACATTCTTAAAAGTCTTTTTGGCCACTGCAGGAGTACAGAGTACTGCAGGATACACACACATATACACACACGCCAACATACACACACACACACACACACACACACACAGACACACACACACACTCAGAGTCTGTTTTTTAGCACCTGCAAAAACATGCTGTTTACATATTTGACAAGAATGCAGAGGCTCCTTTTGCCCCTGAAAAAAATCAAATTTCAAACACAACTTGACTGTTCATTTCTCCAAAAGACAACCATGAAGCTCCATTTCAAACCTGAAGCAGATAGTTGGTGCATGTGTACAGTAACCTGAGGGGAGTGAGGTGACTATTTCTGAGGAGAACATGAGCAGTGAAGATTCACCTTGGAGCTAGAACAGGGACGTGCACATGATTATACAGGGGCAGGGGCTCAAGTTTTTTCCAGTCATTTATACAATATGGAAATTAATGTGAAATTAAACCACAAATATGTGTGATGAACTGTTTTTAAAACTTAAACTTCAAATAAAAATTGTAAACTTCAAAACATATGCACATTTTTAACAAAGAACATAGTGATTTACCTCTATTTACATCAAAATGCAGGCAATGGCCCAGGCTTTCTTTGTAAAATTATTTACAAAACACTGTATAGTCTCACAAATGTCACTTTTTTATTTATGCCACTACAAAAAAACATGATGTAAATGATGCATGATGTAAAACATGATGTAAAATACTTGTGTAGATCCTCCTCTATGTCAGTCCATGTGTAATTTTTCCACAATTCTTTGTTTTTTGCAGCATTTTTGTTAGTGTAACTGCAGATTGTGCTGACAGTGTCTATGGCACAAAAAAAAATAAAAATAAAAATGCCTCAACATGAACCACTGGTGGTCTCTGAGGGTGAAACCTGCTAACTGCTGCAGCTCTGTCAGCTTCAGTCTCCCATGCAGAGCTCTGAGCGCATGTGTGGCTCTGCACCCTTAGCAGCGTTGCTAACTCCTCAGTAAGGAAAGCCTGCTTCATGTCAGAGTCTCTAAACTCCAGAAGAAGTAGATAAAAGTCCCTTTCTTTCTAAAAAAAAGTCGTTAGGGGGTCTGAAAAGTCATTGAATCTAACAACAAAGTCGCTAGGTTTGCAACTACGTGTCCCAGACTGCATCCCTGCTGAGAGTCCCTCCCTCCCTTCTCATGTTGCAGGAAGAACGTAAGCACCCGCCCCTTGTCAATCAGTCACCATATAATTTTGGATTGGTTGTTGTGGTGAAGTTTTCCACCAATAGGAGAGATGTTGTGGTGTGTTTTTTTTTTTCTTTTGGCAAGCCTTTTCCGCCTGTAAGACCTGTCGCTAATGTCTGCATGCTATGTTTTCCTGTCTCATACAGCGCGATCAAGCGCCGAACGTGATCAAAATAAGCAGAAAAAAAGTATCGCGGACATAATTTATCATAACTCTGGTTTTATTTGGCCTATCAACACAATTTAAAAACTGGTATATAGGTTGAGGTCCTCACTTTTGAGATAAGTTGAAACGGAGAGTCAACGAGGCTCCGTCTTGCAGCTACATCCGGTTAAATATGTCATGTGACTTGAACGCACACACAGACACACACACACGCACACACACACACACACACACACAGACACACACACACACTCAGAGTCTGGTTTTTAGCACCTGCAAAAACATGCTATTTACATATTTGACAAGAATGCAGAGGCTCCTTTTGCCCCTGAAAAAAATCAAATTTCAAACACAACTTGACTGGTCATTTCTCCAAAAGACAACCATGAAGCTCCATCCAAACCTGAAGCAGGCAGTTGGTGCATGTGTACAGTAACCTGAGGGGAGTGAGGTGAGTGCTTCTGAGGAGAACATGAGCAGTGAAGATTCACCTTGGAGCTAGAACAGAGACATGCACATGATTATACAGGGGCAGGGGCTCAAGTTTTTTCCAGTCGTTTATACAATATGGAAATTAATGTGAAATTAAAACACAAAGTATTAATAGAAAGGTAATGACTGTCCTGTGTAGGTGACAGTGATATCCAATAGGCTAGGCACTCACGAGGCTGGCTGTGGCAAGTGTAAGTGAAAGCAACACGCACTGGCAGGAAGAACAGCAAACGCCGATGAAGGAAAAGGGTCTTTGCAGTGATGGGCGTTACCAGAGAGGGCGATGGCCAGAGGACACAAATGGGACGGGGAGGCAGCACGGGGGGGGGGGGGGGGGGGGGGGGCGCGACACGGCTCGGGCCCGCCAGTGCCCCAACGGGGTCCTAGTTAGGGCCCGAGCGTAGCTGCAAAGCAGCTGCGAGAGCCCTCTTGTTCCTGCATGTTTCCTTCTTTTTAGGGCCCGAGCGTAGCTGCTAAGCAGCTGCGAGAGCCCTATTATTCCCCAAGTGGTTTTTCTTTGTTTCTTTCTTTCTTCTTTTTCCTCCCCTTTGAACTGGAAAATGGCCCACTTCCCACTGGCGAAAACTCATGAAATTTGGCAGGATGACCGGGCCTGGTGAAAAATTTGATATTCCGAAGTCGCCCAAACAAGAAAATGCAAAATGGCTCCATAGCGCCCCCTAAGGTGAAAATTCACACTATTGACTGTCACGCCTTTACGCTTTGTCAAAATGACACAAAAATTGACACACACATGTATCTCAATAAGATCTACAAAAAAGTCAGTGCGGGCGTATCTGTCAAATGTACGGTTAAAGGGTTATTTCGCATTTTTTGCCGATCCGCACACATTGGAATTTCGCTAACTCCTCAGAAGGCTTTCGTTCCACCGGCACCACATTTGCTCAGGCCAATCTACACCCCATGGCCATTAAAAGTTATTCAAATCATGACGCTGCACCCCACGGTTTAGGTTCTAGGGGGCGCCAAAGATAACCCTAAAATCCACATATTTAAAAGTCTTATAACTTTTTATTTTTGCCCTCACTGGCCTCCAAGTTTTCTAGGATGATGCAATGTCCAGCCATCAACACATTTGTGAAGGAATTTTCACTCCCCAAAAGAGCGCCCCCCCATGGCAGGAGAAAAAAGTCCATTTTTTCTTGTCCCCTAAGGTGAAAATACACATTGTTGAGTGTCACGCCTGTACGCTATGGCAAAATGACACAAAATTCGACACACACATGTATCTCAATAAGATCTACGAAAAAGTTAGTGCGCGCGTATCTGTCAAATGTACGGTTAAAGGGTTATTCCGCATTTTTTGCCGATCCGCACACATTGGAATTTCGCTAACTCCTCCGAAGGCTTTCGTTCCACCGGCACCACATTTGCTCAGGCCAATCTACACCCCATGGCCATTCAAAGTTTTAAAAATCATGACGCTGCACCCCACGGTTTACGTTCTAGGGGGCGCCAAAGATGACCCAAATATCCACATTCTTAAAAGAATCCACCCCCCCCCCCCCCCCCCCATCCCCCATCCCCCATCCCCCATCCCCCATGGCAGGAGAAACAGTCAAGTTTTTCCTGCCCATCACTCAATGGCTCAATCGCATCGCTCTCCCGGCAACACCGTAACGAGGAGCAACTTGCCGTTTGGATATATCCTAGCTGTGTTTGTGCCCTCACTCATGGTCCAGACTTTTTTCAAATAGGACATGTAGTTTGTCTGCAGCGAGTGTTTTGGTAGAAACTGCGCCTCCCATTTATTATAATGGGAAATGACCACAGACAAGTGCGCACACCATCTTTGGACCTTGAGTGTGACGCGATCAGGAGGGGGAGGCGGTCGCACTGGGGGCGGCGCAACGCGGCTCGGGCCCGCCAGTGCCCCAACGGGGCCCTAGTGTTATTAGGGCCCGAGCGTAGCTGCTAAGCAGCTGCGAGAGCCCTCTTGTTCCTGATGGATTCTTCTTTTGTTATTATTATTATTATTATTTTTCCTCCGCTTTAAACTGGAAAATGGCCCACTTCCCACTGGCGAAAACTCATGAAATTTGGCAGGACGACCGGGCCTGGTGAAAAATTCGATATTCTGAAGTCGCCCAAACAATAAAATGCAAAATGGCTCCATAGCGCCCCCTAAGGTGGAAATTCACACTATTGACTGTCACGTCTGTACGTTTTGTCATATTGACACAAAAATTGACACACATATGTATCTCAATAAGATCTACAAAAAAGTCAGTGCGGGCGTATCTGTCAAATGTACGGTTAAAGGGTTATTGCGCATTTTTTGCCGATCCGCACACATTGGAATTTCGCTAACTCCTCCGAAGGCTTTCGTTCCACCGGCACCACATTTGCTCAGGCCAGTCTACACCCCATGGCCATTAAAAGTTGTACAAATCATGACGCTGCACCCCACGGTTTAGGTTCTAGGGGGCGCCAAAGATAACCCAAAAATCCACATTCTTAAAAGTCTTATAACTTTTTATTTTTGTCCTCACTGCCCTCCAAGTTTTCTAGGATGATGCAATGTCCAGCCATCAACACATTTGTGAAGGAATTTTTACTCCCCAAAAGAGCGCCCCCCCATGGCAGGAGAAAAAAGTCAATTTTTTCTTGTCCCCTTACATGAAAATACACATTGTTGAGTGTCACGCCTGAACGCTTTGTCATATTGACACAAAAATTGACAATCATGTGTATCTCAATTAGATCTACGAAAAAGTCAAAGAGCGCGTATCTGTATAATGTACGGTTAAAGGGCTATTTCGCATTTTTTGCCGATTCGCACACATTGGAATGTGGCTATCTTCTCCTAAGGCTTTCGTCCCACTGATACCAAATTTGCTCAGGGCAATCTACACCCCATGCCCATTCAAAGTTGTAAAAATCATGACGCTGCACCCCACGGTTTACGTTCTAGGGGGCGCCAAAGATGACCCAAAAATCCACATTCTTAAAAGTCATTTTGGCCACTGCAGGAGTACAGAGTACTGCAGTTCTAGGGGGCGCCAAAGATGACCCAAAAATCCACATTCTTAAAAGTCTTTTTGGCCACTGCAGGAGTACAGAGTACTGCAGGATACACACACATATACACACACGCCAACACACACACACACACACACACACACACACACACACACACACACACACACACACACACACTCAGAGTCTGTTTTTTAGCACCAGCAAAAAAATGCTGTTTACATATTTGACAAGAATGCAGAGGCTTCCTTTTGCCCCTGAAAAAAATCAAATTTCAAACACAACTTGACTGTTCATTTCTCCAAAAGACAACCATGAAGCTCCATCCAAACCTGAAGCAGATAGTTGGTGCATGTGTACAGTAACCTGAGGGGAGTGAGGTGACTATTTCTGAGGAGAACATGAGCAGTGAAGATTCACCATGGAGCTAGAACAGGGACGTGCACATGATTATACAGGGGCAGGGGCTCAAGTTTTTTCCAGTCATTTATACAATATGGAAATTAATGTGAAATTAAAAAACAAAGTATTAATAGAAAGGTTATGACTGTCCTGTGTAGATGACAGTGATATCCAATAGGCTAGGCACTCACGAGGCTGGCTGTGGCAAGTGTAAGTGAAAGCAACACGCACTGGCAGGAAGAACAGCAAACGCCGATGAAGGAAAGGGTCTTTGCAGTGATGGGCGTTACCAGAGAGGACGATGGCCAGAGGACGCGAATGGGACGGGGAGGCAGCGCGTTGGGGGGGGCAGCGCGACACGGCTCGGGCCCGCCAGTGCCCCAACGGGGCCCTAGTTATTATTTTTCCTCCCCTTTGAACTGGAAAATGGCCCACTTCCCACTGGCTAAAACTCATGAAATTTGGCAGGACGACCGGGCCTGGTGAAAAATTTGATATTCTGAAGTCGCCCAAACAATACAATGCAAAATGGCTCCATAGCGCCCCCTAAGGTGAAAAATTCACCTGACGCCTGTACGCTTTGTCAAAATGACACAAAAATTGACACACACATGTATCTCAATAAGATCTACAAAAAAGTCAGTGCGGGCGTATCTGTCAAATGTACGGTTAAAGGGTTATTTCGCATTTTTTGCCGATCCGCACACATTGGAATTTCGCTAACTCCTCCGAAGGCTTTCGTTCCACCGGCACCACATTTGCTCAGGCCAATCTACACCCCATGGCCATTAAAAGTTATTCAAATCATGACGCTGCACCCCACGGTTTATGTTCTAGGGGGCGCCAAAGATAACCCTAAAATCCACATATTTCAAAGTCTTATAACTTTTTATTTTTGCCCTCACTGGCCTCCAAGTTTTCTAGGATGATGCAATGTCCAGCCATCAACACATTTGTGAAGGAATTTTTACTCCCCAAAAGAGCGCCCCCCATGGCAGGAGAAAAAAGTCCATTTTTTCTTGTTCCATAAGGTGAAAATTCACACTATTGACTGTCACGCCTGTACGCTTTGTCAAAATTACACAAAAATTGACACACACATGTATCTCAATAAGATCTACAAAAAAGTCAGTGCGGGCGTATCTGTCAAATGTACGGTTAAAGGGTTATTGCGCATTTTTTGCCGATCCGCACACATTGGAATTTCGCTAACTCCTCCGGAGGCTTTCGTTCCACCGGCACCACATTTGCTCAGGCCAATCTACACCCCATGGCCATTAAAAGTTATTCAAATCATGACGCTGCACCCCACGGTTTAGGTTCTAGGGGGCGCCAAGGATAACCCTAAAATCCACATATTTAAAAGTCTTATAACTTTTTATTTTTGTCCTCTCTGGCCTCCAAGTTTTCTAGGATGATGCAATGTCCAGCCATCAACACATTTGTGAAGGAATTTTTACTCCCTAAAAGAGCGCCCCCCCATGGCAGGAGAAAAAAGTCCATTTTTTCTTGTCCCATAAGGTGAAAATACACATTGTTGACTGTCATACCTGTATGCTTTGTCATATTGACACAAAATTTGACACACACATGTATCTCAATAAGATCTACGAAAAAGTCAATGCGCGCGTATCTGTAAAATGTACGGTTAAAGGGCTATTTTGCATTTTTTGCTGATTAGCACACATTGGAATGTGGCTAACTCCTCCTAAGGCTTTCGTCCCACTGACACCAAATTTGCTCAGGCCAATCTACACCCCATGGCCATTCAAAGTTTTAAAAATCATGACGCTGCACCCCACGGTTTACGTTCTAGGGGGCGCCAAAGATGACCCAAATATCCACATTCTTAAAAGAATCCACATCCCTTTCCCCCCCTCCCATCCCCCATCCCCCATGGCAGGAGAAACAGTCAAGTTTTTCCTGCCCATCACTCA